GCATCACTTTTATGCGCTGTGGAATATCAAACCAATAAGGAATGTTACATTAAGAAGGAAGGAAGCAGACAACGTGCGAAAAAATAGGATGGATGCGCCGCTGCGAATAATTATTTTCGTGAGGAGAATATATTTTACTCTTTCGCAGCTATTGATTAAAGTTTTAAATCTTCGAAAGATTAGCTTTCGGTGCATTTATTCTGCAGTAGATGTGTCTGTCTTGTCAAATTATTATGCTAATAATAATTGATGAAACGAGATACATTTTTAAGCATTATAATCGGGCGTTTACCTCTGGTATCCATTGCCGTTTTCGCACTAAATCTTTGTCAAACTGCAATCTGTCTCTGCCTTTGATATCGATTCCGAAGAGCCTTGTTTATTCTAGTGTTTACTTATATTAAGTAGCCTCCAGTGACAAGTGACGTAAATGAATTGTTCTCGAGGGCGAGAAGCTGCCGCGATGGTGACGCGAAACAAAGGGCTCTCATTAAAAGAATTTCGCGTCGCTGAAAAGAGGAAATTATTGCAATCTCCGTCCTCTCGAACTTCGCGAACAATTTTCGGCAAATAATTACACTCTGTCCGTTAAACTATTCTGCTATAAAAAATTATCCCGATATATTCCAAATAGGATTACGATAAATGTCTTCGAATAATTTTCCAAATTGTTCATTTTTTTAATCGGATATCTCCTGATAGAAGAATATTCAAATATGGTGATATAGTGAATGATTAATTCTAATAAATTGCAAAACTAATTTATACCCTATAGATAGCAAACGTACGTCATTTTAACGTTTAATGTCAGTTTACTACTTGGAATATAAAAGTATTTGATAATAGAAAACGAATATTATATCGTATTTATATTTCGAAGGAAAGATAATTTCAAATGCCTTTACATGACGATAACAAGAGTCTAAACAGTGGCATTCACTGTTGTACATATCCTGTAAGTTTTACTATCCGCCTATCTCAAAGTGTCTCTGGCTCAACGGAACCGTTAAGGATCGAGATCGATATCAAGCGACTTCGGGGCCCTTCAGGTATCGACACGGCTTGTCAATCGCAGATGATCCTGCACCACAAACGAACCGCGTTTATCCCACGCTTGTGCTGTTACAAACACCGCGATCGATATAAGAGGAGTTACGCCCTCGAGCTTGCTGAGCTTTGAACGGTAGAACGTTAAGTTACTTCCTTTGACAAACTTAAGGAAATTTATCTATATATTCTCAGCTCAACTATACAGGAAAACAGACTCGCTAGAGATTTAGTAATCGCTCTAATATTTAGCTGTACTTTAACTTAAATCCGCACGATAACACACATTAAAAATACGTAGGGTTGATACGTAAAAATATATCTTTTCTTCGATGATTAATGAACAATCAAAACATTTACGTTGCAAAAAATTATTAAATTAATAAATATTTATTTCAATACCGCCTAATCAATCATTTATTTGTTTCAAATAAATATTTATCTGTTTTGAAAAGGTTTTATATCGAATAAATATTTTTCACATCAAATCAATATTATTAGTTTCATAAAGAAATGATTTATTGGCAGTATTGAAATACATATTTGTTCGAATTTAATAAATTGTTTTTCCAGTGTAGTATTTTAACGTATAGTATTTTAATGCATCGCAAACATAAGAAAAGAGAATTGATAGTCTAATACTGATATAGTAATAAAATAATTAATTCTATCATGTTTATAATTTGCATTATAATGACATCATTATTACTATGGGTTATCATAAACTGAAGCTATTACAGCCATAACGGCTCATCATCGGAATTGTAAAATAACATCGTTATTATTTCACGGCGCTTTATTTTATCGCCCTAATACAATAATTTCAATTAAGCTTTTCCTCTCAACGTTTTTTTTGCGGTTGCGTTACTTGTGCAAATAGAATACACCATTAAAAACGGTTTTGTCCGAATTCAATTGATTTAAAAAAAAAAAAAAATATATATATATATATATATATATATATTGGGGTCTTTCAAAAAAAAATATATATATATAAAATTTTTTTTTACGAACTCGATAAAAGCGAAGAATTGGATAAACAATCAAAATTTCCTCGACGATCAGCAATTACGTGGCTAACTTTCACGAACGTGTCGTAGAAATTCGTTGGCTAACTCGATAAAAGTGCTCTCGTGCCGTACAAGCATCTAATGCGGCAGCAGCAGCCGCCCAGTTTAGTTTCTTAGCGATTCTTGAATGCACGGCCCCGAAACTTTCCTCTCTCTTTTCGCTCCTTTCCCTCCTTTTCCTCTCTCTCTCTCTTATATATATATATATATATACATATATTATATTTGACTTTCAAGTATAGTATCACTCTATTTTCGAAAAACTGATGCCAATAAAAAAGTATTTGCCGATGCAAGCAAAAACATTGACTTTCCTTGAGATATTAAATTTCTCGTTAAGGTCTGTAGATATAAAGACTCGAAAACGAAATAAACTGTTTAACAAATCCGGGAAATTATTATTATCAATGGCGTTTCCAGCTGGGCACTTGTTTTAAATCGATTTATAAAATCGATATTTCATATATTCAGGGAAAATAGAATTTTTGATATAAATCTTTTCCTCGCAACTCGTTTAATTCGGAACATTAAGTATTTTTATACCTAAGCTTTTCGCGTACCGTCATAATACCGATATCTTCTGGTGCAGTTTCTGAAATAATCCATTGTGCTATTGGCAACGGTTCGGAAACTATTATGTGAAGAAATGTGGAGCCTATATGTTGTTGAGCCAGACGCGGGAAGAAAACGCCCTCTCCGTGGATTTTCCTTCCCCGTTTCTTATAAACGTATCTTACACCGACCTTATCCCATCCCTTTGTATTGCACAGCCTCGCTCGGATATGCCATTCGTTCTTTCGCTTATAAGGCTTCGAGTAGAGGCGAAACCCTTCAATAAATGCCGCATTTGCGTGTATAGTGCATTCCGCAAATAATTCAACTTGCTGCTGCGTGGCTTATGCGATTCGCGTTCGATATCGCGATGGATCGATGGAACACGATGAACGTCAAACAACATTGTTGTTATTGATTAAACCTCCGCGAGCTGCGTCGAAAGACTTGGCAGAAGAAATATCACTTTTGCATTCGTTCGGAATTTCGAAATTTGCAGTACACATTTCTATGTCACGCATTGATTTGCATTGCACGTGTTTTATTTATCTTGGGTATTTTCGACATATATATACATATATGACAAAGATTGCGCATAATAAAAATCGGCGATCCAGAACGCGATAAAAAAAGAGAGGGGTCACAAAATACCAATCATGGGTGGCTCGCGAGAATGAGTTTTCCGCGGCTTTTGCGGAACTATCACATGCCGGGATTTTCGCGAAATATCCGGGGAAATTGCTTTGCGTTCAAAAGCTTCACGCGATTATGGCATAAACTCGTTCATTACGACGATATTCGCTCGAGCGACTATACGCGAGCGCGTTCAAAAATTCGATCATCCAATGTATGTCTCGCGTAACTTTTGCCGAAATAGAATCCGCTGCTCTTAGACTACATTCGCCAACATTCCTCTTCCCTCTTCTCCGCTTGTCGTACCGAAGGACAAAAATCTACAACAAAGTTTGCAAAACTTGCCAAACTTGTAAAAGAGCTTTTTCGCCAGCATACCGATTCATTCGGAATGTTTTTCAGAGATTTTTTGAAGGTATTTATTTGAAATGTATGTTGCTATATTTTAAAACATAGTATATTCGAAAGTATTTACTTTAAATAAATTCTCTCGATAGTAATAGAGAAACCAGAAAATATTCTTTGTATATATATTCAATATATATATTTTTATATATTTGTTATATATTATATATTTTATTATATTTTTTAATTATATTTCATTATATTTATTTCTCTTGTAATTATAAGAGATCGAAGGGTTTTTTAATAATTTATTTATTTCTTTTTTGCTTGTTACAATTGTTATATAATATTAGGTTATCGGAAAAGTTATAACGTATTTTTTCTATGTTTTTCAAAGATTTTTTTTTTACTTATATATAGTTAATTATTGTATTATAATACGTCATGACTTTTCTAACAACCTAATATTAGCGCTCTCGAGAAAAAGAGACAGAAACGAGAGAATGTATGTTTTTTTTCGTCAGTTTTGCACGTCGAGTTGCTCCAGAAAGATATCGCGAACGTGCAGGAAGCAGAGTTCTGGTGCGACGACAGCGCAAGTAGAAGAGATCGCCGTTACGTCCGCCATGAATTTTCATCGCTCGACGAGGCGACTCCGTTTCGCGGTGAAGCGGAGCCTAACTGATGTTCCAGCGCGCGATTTGCATAAAATGAGACCGGACAGGATCCGCAGTTCCTCCGGGACGTTTCCGAGAACTGCCGTTCCATTATCGGGCCAGGTAGCAGCGGCGATCCCGGGGCTCTAATGTGCTGTCGGATAAGAAGGGCAACGCGCGTTAACTCTTTGACCCCGACACTCCCTCGCGAATGCACATCACGCACGTACTTTCATGGATTATGCTTTTCCGATTCCCGCACTTAACGCTAGAAAACGCTAGGTGATGCATTTTTATATTCGTGTTACCAGGGTCGTCTGCAAATTGGTAGAGATATTGCGATTTATCATCATTTTGAAAAAAAATTGCATCTTGTTAGTATAATATTTTTTTCAAATTTACAGAGAGTGTATATTAATCTTCTCGCAATTTTATTATGTTTTCTTTGATGTATTTATTTTATTTTATTTTATTTTAACAACGAAATATATTTGATTACTCGTGATAAGCCTGGTATCAAAGGATATTTTCGAAAAATCAAATTTCTCCAATGATATATTATTGAATTCAGAGAATATTTTATAATTAATATCAGTGTGTTACTAACTATTACATTTTTTATTTGTAAAAAATTCTTGATCGCAAAATGGAAGATGGGAGATAATGAATCAAAATTTATATAGAGAAGAAAGACGAATTGTGTAACTCCAAAAATTTATTATATAACATACATATTACATTCGTACTGACATTTCGGGTAGAGATATTTGAGCGACGAATCCAAAAAGTCTAACGTCATAGGGTCGCGTTGATTGAATCTCTCAATCCATATGTATTAAAGATGATCTGATGAAAATCCTTTGGATTTCAAACGAATGTAATGCGACGATCCTAAATTAGCGCGTACTTTGACCGATAACTTTGCATATAAAACAAATTCACTCTTAAATCATATTCGCTCGTTGATTACTGTTGCGTCTCATTTCCGGGAACGTATCTTAGGAAGTACTAATTCGGAAGTAAAGTTGTTCGCAAGAGACCGATAGCGCCAGGATCAATTCACCGAAACATCGTATCGACGAGGAAAATCAGGACGAGCAGAACAAGTCGTCTATTTACATCGCCGGTGCCTCCGTGTTGCATCGCAGCGGGATGTTCCCCTGGAAAAGAGAATTAAGCTAGACGGCTAACGTGTCGCTTTTGTGTTTCGCACCTTCGGATCTTTACAAGCCCAATCTCATCAATCCTCGAGTACTCGCTAACTGACATTAAATTTATTAACGGCTACGGAACGTGAAAGAAATTGCGCTCAAAAATTCTGAAAAATTCGAATTGTCCCAAGAAAGATAGATGACATATCATCGAGATAGATAAATAATATACAGGGTATTTCTAAAACTGTGTCAGATATTTTAAGGGTGTACTCTAAAAGTCAAAATAAGAAAAAATAAACATCGATATGGAAACATCGAAAAATGTTTGTTGTAGCTTTCGGAGATTTTTTCACAAATCGGGAAAAAGACTTCAACAATCTGTGAAAAAATCTCTGAAAATTACAATTATCCGATATATTTTCCGATTTTTTCCCCATATTTAAAGAACAATAACTCGGAGGGAAAGCAGTTTTGGATCCATGTTTATAAAAATTATTTCTCTTATTTTACTCCCTAAAATACGCTTTTAAAATCTCTGACAGTTTTAGAAACATCCTGTATTAATCCATCTGTTTCATCATTAAATTTCGAATATGCAAAACAGAGTATTCATTAGCGAAATGAATAGATGCGGCGCTATATTAGAAATTATCATTAAATAATTTGTTTATACACATACACACATGATAACTAAATAATATATACGATTGCGGATTATATTATATTTATCCATTCTACCTCGCAGCGAGCGAACGCGTGACGCAACGTCGCATGTCGTTATCGAACGATAAATCGCGCGTCGCACGCTCCTGTGTATCGCAATATTAAACAGTTGTTACAAAACATAATTAATATTTGAACAACGCGCGCGGGGGAGCGTGTCATTATTTATACAAGCGTATTAATGCAATTAAGAGAGCGCGAGAGAGATATATCTGAGTAAAACAAATATATTCTCCTTATTGCAAAGTGCTCCGGGAATAATTTCGTGACGTTACGCTTTCGCTCGCTCGCGAAAGAGAATTTCGAAATTAACTATGTCGCAAATCTCCACCCCATGGCCGCCCCTTCTGCTACCGATATATCGCCACCGCGATATTTTACTCACCGTTTAGTACGTGCACCATCACGCTCGCCGGGGTGACTTTGCTCGAAGCGCATGTATAATTACCGCTATCGTTAAATTGAGCGCGCGTTATTAGGAGCTTGCTGGTGGTGCCCCGTTTACCCTTCTCGGTCTCCAGCGATACGCCACCCCTGTCGAACACGATATGCATAATAGTGAGAGACACAGTATTACTCGGGAGAGGACTTACGAGGATTTCGCGAAAAAAAATCCACGTTGATAAAAAAAAAAACACGATATGCATAATGATGAGAGACATTATTACTCGGGAGAGGCCTGCGAGGATTTGATAAAAAAAAATAAATCTCGCGTCGGTCCGCTTTTTTTTCACGGGAGAATCTTCTACGAGATGCTCCGGTCTCGCGAAATACCCGTTCGACGTCACAATCCGTTGCAATCGATTTTCTTCGTCGATTGCGTTAAACTCTATTACATCTGCATCTACGTCGCGGGTGAAGCAACGAGTTTTCGCAGGGTAATGGAATTGTTTGCGCGAATTATCGCGAAATGGCATAGAAATATAGACAGACGATTCGTGATGTTGCAGCTTCGTGACGTGACAGAAATAATTTCGAAGCCAACGTAGATTACTCTAATTAGATCCCCGGCTTGACTGTTGCCGTTGTTGTTTGTACTACGCGTGTTTGCGAACGATATAGACACACAATTTGAACAATGATTCCATCAACCAATTGTACATCACGAAGTTTAATCGACATATCTCTTCCTACCTTGGACCATCGAAATCGATCACCGCGCCGGCATGGTACCAGGTCACGTTGCTCGGGGGCAGATCTTGCATTTCTATGATGCAGGTCAGGCTGATTGTGCTGCCTTTTTTGATATATAGCTCCTGAGGACCCGTGATCTGCGCCTGTATATCTGATAGAGACAACAGAACGAGACGAAAAGAGGAGAAAATTGAGAAAACAATGCGATTGGCTTTATTATATAGGAAACGCGCGAGGGAGATCGAATTATCATCCGTTTCTCAAATTCCCACAGATATACAGGGTGTCCCAGACTTATCGTGCCATTAATAGGAGACTCCTAAGCGAAAATGTCGAGGAGGGTCATCATTTGTTTAATGTTCCCAATTTTTGAAATTAAATGTATCTTTGTAACTAAACCTTAAATTAAAATTCTATTAAAGTAAACTCTACATGAAATTAATAAAAGAATGTGATTTTGTTAATATTTTATTTCCACGAGGCTTAGTTTGCGACAATCTTCTTATTTTCAATCGCTTATAACTCGAAAACTATTGGTGCCTGGACATTTTCGCTGAGGAAAAATCGTCTCCAAATCGCCTCAAGAATCTCTTATTAACCAGTGGCACGTTAAGTCTGGGACACCCTGTATAGCCGGGAGATAGATTCTACTTTATTTCAGGTAAAGCTCTCTCGGCGAACCGCATCGTCGGTGTAAAATCGCGACAAATCGTCGGTGGACAGTGAATGGAGTTAAAACACAATTGGTTCTAACACACAGCCTTGCGATAGACTTTAACTCGGGGAAGATCTTTAAGCGCGATTTATGAGGAAGGAAGGTGCGCGCGCGAACGGGGCCAGCTCGCCCTCGCAGAAACTTACCCAAAACCTTCAGAGTCACGGCTCTATATATCTTCGGTTCCGTATTAACCTGACACTCGTAAATGCCGGCGTCTCGCGGTTGCACGTAATCTATTCGCAGATTCCAGTCGTCGGTTTCCGGATTGCTGACTACAGTAAATCTCGCGTCGCTCGTGTAAGTCACAGACAGGGACGTCAGGATGTGTAGGTCCCTTTTTCGGATCCAGGACACCTGGGATTATTACGCACGGGGTATGTATAAGTAAATTGCGAAGTTTATCGTCGATCCCCTTCGCTGCTGCTGATATTCAATACCCTTCGTTTCTCATCTCGTATTATAATGAAGCCGATCCCAATGAATATTTATACAGACATTATATTTATATACAAACATTGACAACTCCGAAAAAAATAATTTATGCGCGCGTATTAATTTCACAAATTTTATAATATGTTGAAAATGATGTAAACTATTCTGAATCTTTCTCTTTTCTACAAGAAATCTAAGATAGGTAAAGATACGAGAATTTACAAACACAAACATTATATAATATATAATTGACAACTCCGAAGGAAAGAATTTTGTGCGCGCGTATTAATTTCCACAAATTTTATATGTTAAAAAGAATGAAAAATGTTCTAAATCTCTCTTTTTCTTTCTCTATCTCTGCAAGAAATCTAAGATAGGTGAAGATACGAGAATTTATAGATATAATTATATCTAGATAGATAATTGACAAGGAAAGAATTTCCGCGCGTATTGATTTCCACAAATTTTATAATATGTTAAAAAGAATGAAAAATGTTCTGAATATCTCCTTTTCTTTCTCTATCTCTGCAAGAGATCTAAGATAGATGAAGTTACGAGAATTTACAGATACAGACATTATATAATTGACAGGTGTGAAGAAAAGAATTTATGCGCGTATTAATTTCCACTAATTTTATAACATTAAGATAAATGACAGATATTCTGCATCCCTCATTCTCTTCCATTCTGCCTATCTTTGCGAGAAATTTAAAATCGAGGAAAACGAACATCTCGTCTTTATGATTGGGCGGAATTATCATAACGGTGACTCATTCTTAGAGAAGAAGTCTGAACAGAAGATAAGAATATCGACTTTTCGGCAGAGCAGTCATAAATGATGAAAAAAATGCTGATGCTTTTTTCTTCTTTAATATACTCTTCCTTTATCCTTTTTTCATTAAATTCCTAGCAGATCGCGATATTATATCATGCGGAAATTTCTATTTCGTAAACTCTATGGAATCTAATAAACGTCTAATGAACACGCTACGTTTGACTTGCCAGCAGCGAAAGGGTTAATGCGCGTTGCGCGAGCATCTAAGTTATTGCAGCACGCAAACCGCTTTCGAGATCGATGAAATTAACAAAGCTCGGGGAGAGATTTGCGTGTGCAACGTGTGGGACTCACAGTTCTGTTGCCTAAATTCTTAACGCGACATAACAGCACGGCGGCCTGACCTATGGCCACCGTTAATTTTTGCGGCGTGTCTTTGAAAAAATATGTCTTCTTTGTGCCGCGCTGCGACTTTTCCCCCTTTCCAAATGTCTCGTTGTTGAGATGCACAAACGCTGAAATAGAGATAAACTCAGATCGCATTATTATTCTCGATAATATCCTTATTATCAAAAAAGAATTACGAATTTTTCCGATCCAAAATCTAATAAAATATTAAAATTTCTTTTCAAAGTACGAAAAGATATATATGTATATTATTATCCACAAGACGCAATAATAGCAACTAGATAATTATTTCAAAAATATAATTAAATTAAATTAAATATATTTAAAATTTTTTGTATGCATTAGTATCACTTTTTGTTTGCTCGCTCTTCATTGGCATATATTTTTTAGCATATTTAATTATTGAATTTTTCTTGAAAATAAGGTTTTTAATAATTTTTTAATTTTGTTGAAAGTAATTAATTGATGTATGAGAATGCTGGAATTATTTTCGAAAAGTGAAACAATAATTATCGTAATTATATTTATCGAGAAATTGATAATACCTACTCTACCATCACTGCGGTAATACGTTTAGTTAGACCGTGATTTTCGCTTCTTCTATCACAATGTCTAGATTCCATCTCATAAGAAAGTTGTTAATTATTCTTTACTCTTTCCGAGCTGTTCATAAAGAATGTTTTTTTATTTTTTAATTACTTAATTTCGCGTGTCTATATGTATATAATTGCGGAAATTATATACACGATTTATTGAGAATGAGAATATAACAATTAATTTTATGTAGATTAATGCTATATATAGTTGTTTGATAATTACTCTCATTTTCTATCTATACTATTATCAGAATATAAAATAAGACAGAGAATTTAATTAAATAAAATTTAATTAGGTAATTATCAGCCAATGACCCGTATCTATAAAAGACATCGTTGCTCTTTTTCAATTGTATTTAATTGGAAAAGTTAATTCAAGTAAATTTATTTTATAAAGTCAAATTTCCTTTAATTTTATAAAATGAATGTTTTAAAAATCTCTATAATCAATCATTTTTTACTTCTGTAGACGATGCAGCTAAGACATACGTATTCTTTAAGGATTTAAACTTGACATCGGTGTTTTTTGAAAATCTTGTATTTTATCTTCTTGAACAGCGGAACAAATTTAATAATAAAAATGACTTAAAACCGTTCTCTCTCTCGTATATACCAGGGTGTGTTTCGCGCGAGTGAAATTACTTCTGTTACAACTGCAAATTACGCTCGTATACGATCGTACACAGCGATATACCCCGGCGATATGAAGAACGATCGTATCTCAGAATTTCACAGGAAGCACGGGACATTTACCGATGCCGCGTTCGCTGTAAAGTGGTTCCGCGTGTAACAGGTATCCGATTCCCAGGAGCAGGAGGGCCATGCCGTGGAACGGGACCATTTTTCACTTCGCACTCATTTCTCCTAATCTAATTCACGCGCGCGCTGCTCTGCGTCTGACAGCGAGCTTCCCACCACCGTCCGATACAAACGATCACTTTCCATTCGCGGTCCTTCGAAAAACACCCGCGGGATCACGCCGATCGTTGGCATAATGAAATCCGTCACCTCACCCCTCACCAGGTCCCCACCGGGCCTCCCCTCATATGCGGAAACATTACCGCGAGTCCGGATCGTTGTTATTTTTACAAAAAGATATCATAAACATAATCAGTCGGTTATCCTCGCACTTTTTTTACACGCACTTTTTTATTTTTACGAAAATTCTCGAGCAAAAATATCGTCACGTCAAATAATAATAATACAGTGAATCTCCTCGGGGTTTAATCCGCCGGCTGCCGCGTATATCGTCGATTGTTCTCCTTAATCCACGCGACTTGATCGCGATCGCGCGAAGGGAGTTTTCTTACATGCACTTTTTTTATTTTTACGAAAATTCTCGAGCAAAAATATCGTCGTCAAATAATAATAATACAGTGAATCTCCTCGGGGTTTAATCCGCCGGCTGCCGCGTATATCGTCGATTGTTCTCCTTAATCCACGCGACTTGATCGCAATCGCGCGGAGGAGAAAGTTTTCTTACACGCACTTTTTTTATTTTTACGAAAATTCTCGAGCAAAAATATTGTCACGTCAAATAATAATAATACAGTGAATCTCCTCGAGGTTTAATCCGCCGGCTGCCGCGTATATCGTCGATTGTTCTCCTTAATTCACGCGACTTGATCGCGAACGCGCGAAGGGAGTTTTCTTACACGCACTTTTTTTATTTTTACGAAAATTCTCGAGCAAAAATATTGTCACGTCAAATAATAATAATACAGTGAATCTCCTCGAGGTTTAATCCGCCGGCTGCCGCGTATATCGTCGATTGTTCTCCTTAATCCACGCGACTTGATCGCGAACGCGCGAAGGGAGTTTTCTTACACGCACTTTTTTTATTTTTACGAAAATTCTCGAGCAAAAATATTGTCACGTCAAATAATAATAATACAGTGAATCTCCTCGAGGTTTAATCTGCCGGCTGCCGCGTATATCGTCGATTGTTCTCCTTAATCCACGCGACTTGATCGCGAACGCGCGAAGGGAGTTTTCTTACACGCACTTTTTTTATTTTTACGAAAATTCTCGAGCAAAAATATTGTCACGTCAAATAATAATAATACAGTGAATCTCCTCGGGGTTTAATCCGCCGGCTGCCGCGTATATCGTCGATTGTTCTCCTTAATCCACGCGATCGCGCGGAGGAGTCGAGAGTTCGGGGGCGACGCGATACGGTTGCGGGCCAAGCACTGAAATTTGCTCCTCGCGGAGGACACGAAAAAGCTCTCTGAAATCCTGGCACGGTGGCGCCGTGCCCATTCCACCGAGGATACGTGCGATTGCGCCGAGAGGACCTCCGGCGTCGGATATGATTTCCCTTAACCGGAGAGAGGAGAGGAGACGTGTTTATCCCGCGCGCACAACTATCGCAATAGCCGTACATTATCGCGATTTACCGAAGTAATCGGTGTGTACACCTTCCCGGGGCGAGAGAGCTTCCTTTACCCTTCTCTCCTATCCATTCCCTTTCGCAAAGTGTCCGCGGATAAAGTGGTTTACGGTGTATTTGCTATTCTGCTTCTCTTCCGAGGCAATCTTCTTCCGCGCATAAATAAGGAAATGAGGGATAAAAAAGAGCAAATTTCGCCTTTTTGTAAACGTTAAATGATATATTGCAGGAAAATATTTCGAAAAAAACATAATAGTTTTTAAAAAATACAATGTATAAATCAATTGCGAAGCTTACAATATATATCTAATAATATAACTTTAGTTATTCATATCTTCATCTGCTTTTTTTCACAAGCGTATAAAGAATCCTTCTGTTAGTTAAAGAATTCATCCGTTCTTTCAAAGACATTTTTATTCATTCTTACGACATTATATTATATTAATGCTTATTAAAGCGTTAGCTCAGGTCTTTTTCAGTAAACGGAGTTTTCCAAATAGGAAAGCGCCATATTATGTTTCTTATTATTACACTTTACTCTCAACTTCTTTTCGAAGATAACAATATGTATAAATTCTTTATTCTTATCATTATGATTTTATACATAGTCGCAATAATTTTTCAGATAATTCTGGCTTCAATTTAAACAAATAGATATATATGTTTGTTTAAACTTACAGGAACATTTTCTATGTAAAAACATTTCTTTACTGATTATTACATGTGGAAGCACCTTGTTTCATTGATAACTTTTACTATTTTTTTTTTTTAATATAGAGAGAAGACTTTTCTCACTTAGAAATCTATTAGGGGGGAATAATCATTAGTCTGTTTAAATTGAAAACAAAAAATAGAAAAATTATTAAATATTTCGATAAAATATTAGAATAGTCATGTTTCCGTTATTATACATCAAATAATAAACTACTTTACAATGATCATGTGCACATATAAAAATATTATATATTATAAAGTAGTTCCTATAAATTATGCAAGATTAGTCATTTCTTTATTCATATCATTCAATATTTAAAAGAATCCTATTCTATATAATTATTCTATTATACTTATAACCCCCTATATACGTAAATGATGCATATAAAATATTATACATTATATTATTATATAATAATTAACGATTATGCGTAAAAATAAACTATAAAAATGTAATACAACATTATAAAAATTGAATAAGTATTCACACACAAAACAATTCAAATATACATAATAACTCCTTCTCTTATACGCGGATTTTTTTATACATTTTGCTGTTCTGTATTGTTTAAAACTTAGCAAAATAAATCTTTATGCTATCGATGAATCATAAATTCATCAATAGGATAAACTGTTACGATAAAGATAAACCGTTTACGTTTTGTCTATTGTAAAATCACTCTTTGTACCACCCGTTTTCGATATCAATTCTATATTATATATCTTCATTGTACCAGGAGTAACCGCATATTTACACATATCGTAAATTGTAAGAGCGGCTATACTCACAGCAGTTAAAGCTTCCATTTCGACACCTGTCTTACCGGTGCACCTGACCTCTGATATAATTTCCACACTGTGCGATTCCTCGATCAATCTTAGACATACGTTTACGTAAGACAAAGCGAGTGGATGGCACAGGGGGATAAGATCGGAGGTACGTTTCGCTGCCATGATACCGGCCAATTGGGCCACCGATAACACGTCGCCCTTCTTTACATTGTTCTCCGCAATCAGATTACTAATAATAGGACCTACCTTGACGAATCCCCTTGCTATTGCCGCGCGTTTACTGTCATGTTTCCATCCGACATCTACCATATTCGCTTTACCAGTATCATCTATGTGCGAAAATGACGAATACATTCTAATACTAGCCTTATTTTTAAGGTACATAGGTATGTACGATAAATATCGCCTTGAAGCGACGTCATACATTTTGTACTTGTGCATTTTGTGGTAAGATTTCTCCTTACAATTAACTGTAACATAAATAAATTGTAAAGTTAGTTATGAATTTTGTTAATTGTGCTGAGTTAACATAAAGATTTAAAAATTTACGATAATATCTGTGCGCGTCTCGACAAAGCCGACATAGTTGATTAATTATCATATCGTCAATTAACCCCCGATCAGGATCATTGGCCTATTTTCCATTTGAGTAAGATTGAACATTCCTGAAACATGTGTCGCAACAGAGATATATAAACTTGATCGGTTTGTCGACACTGCTACAGTTTATATAAAATAAAAAAAAAAATAAAAAATTAGAAGAAAAATGCATTTAAAATTATTTTTGCTAAGTTTCTTTTAAATTAAAATTTCTTCATCAAATATCGCATTCTTTTTTTCTTGATCGATGTATATATTTTGCGTACCTGCATGTTGTTTCTTTTTTTGTAATACTGCTCCTTTTATTAAATCCTTAAGTGCATCTTCCGAAGCTCCACTTCGCAAAGCGTTTCTAAGCGAGACTTCACCTTTTCCTTCAAACAAGCATACTTTCAAATTTCCATCTGCTGTTATTCTTAAACGATTACACGAATTACAGAAATGTTGGCTCATGGACGTAATAAACCCAATTTGTCCTACAAATCCTGGCACATGGTAGGCCTATCAAAGGATTATAATAATTATATTGTACAATATATTCTTGAATAATAAAATTTTAGTATCAAGAAACAAACCTTAGACGTATCGTTAGGGTGATTCGGCAAAGCTTGGAAATTAGGATACTTTCCTCGGATTATTCTTTTCATCTCGTCGAAAGAAACCATTTTATTTTCTTTCCATTCATTTCCTTGAAAGGGCATATATTCTATGAAACGTACATCAATAGGCCGATTTTTTGTAAAATCGACAAAATCAATTATTTCATCATCATTTCGTCCTCGCATTATCACACAATTGACCTGGTCAACATAATAAATATATAGATCACAATTGTATAAATTTAACAGACTGCACATATTAAAAATTTATATAATTTATAAAACAACATAAAAACTTATATAATTTACTTTTACAGGATTATAGCCAAGCTGAACAGCAAGATCTATGGAAGCCATAACTCTTGGCCAACCTTTTCTACGAGTAAACATCTCAAAGCGTTCCTCTCTGAGAGTGTCCAGTGATATGTTCAATATATCCAATCCTGCTCTTTGAAGAGCCGGCAACTGACGAGTCAGAGTCAATCCATTAGTTGTTATTGCAATCTGTTCCAAATCTGTTAATTGCTTGAGTTGCCCTAATGCATAAAATTATATAAATAAGCAAATCTTGAAGATATTGAAGTAATATCTCATAGCATTAATGTAAAGTCAATATTGAGAGATATTTACCAACAATGTCAACAATATCTTTACGAACTGTGGGCTCACCACCAGTCAAACGTATTTTGCGCACTCCTTCTTTGACGAAGAGATCAGCTATCTGTATTATCTCATCTGTTCTTAAAATATTTTCCTTTTTGGTCAACTTAACACCTTCTGCAGGCATACAATATGTACCTGCAATTTCATTAATAGTATAAAAAAATCATGCAATTTTTTAAAACATATACAATCTTGACAAAAAGACTCACAGCGAAGATTGCAGCGCTCTGTGAGAGATATCCTGAGGTATGTATGTTTACGCCCAAATGTATCTGTGAGTATTCCATGCTGTTCATCCTCTCGCAATCTTGCTCTAAGCAGCTGCAACTGTATAATAAACAAATAAGTTAATGTTACCTTGATCTATGATAATACTTTATCACTCGAAAATAAAAATTTAAGTGTCAAAAAAACAAACTCTATATATATACTTACTCGAGTCGAGGTTTCTGTAGATGCAGCAATTTCCGTCGATGCATTTGCAGCACCGGAAAGTCGCTTGACGAAATTGCACTTTCGAAACATTTATACAATGTACACTGAAAATATATAATAGAAGAAAAAAAACTTATAAAATCGTTACGTTACTTCTTGGTAGTATAGTCGTATATTACGTATCCTTTTGTGCATTATTACGCATCCTTTGAACGAAGAAACCTTATATAATCTCCTATATCATATCTTAATGTTTTATTTTCTTATCTAAATGCACTGTCATCATGTCTGTCCAACTTTTTCTAAATAAAAAACGATGTATTATCGAATACAGAAAGTGCAATTGAATCACGTGTTCTTAATAATTCGAAACAATCAGTCATTATTTGTTTTTTTTTTCTATATCAATTTTATTTTTGTACTTTAACTGTCAAACATCTGTCCTGAATCTTGATCAATCACCCGATCAGCTGTTAATCTGTCACCTGTCACGTGGTTGACTCGCCGTACCACAGATTAATAGACAGATCGCCAAAGGCCTGCCTAAAGAAGAGACCGCCATCTTCGTGCGATAGACTTTGCCCCTTACCGACACACTTTGCCCCTGGTTCGAGTCCGTGCTAAATTCGTAGACTTGAACCAAAAGACTTTGCCCCTGGTTCGAGTCCGTGCTAAATTTCGTAGACTCGACCAAAAGACTTTGCCCCTGGTGCAAGTCCAGGCTAAATTCGTTTGACATTACCAACAGACTTTGCCCCTGGTGCGAATCCAGGCTAATTGATCATGAGACCAATTTGAGAGATTTGGCCCCCGTTGTGTGTGTGTGTGTGTGTGTGTGTGTGAGAGAGAGAGAGAGAGAGAGAGAGAGAATATTTTACATATATGCATATATATATAAAATTTATTAAATATAAAAAATATATTTTTTACACATAAAATGTTTTTTTATTGAAATAATCACGATTTTAAATGTGATATAACACAGTGTTCAAAAATTTTTTAATTAAATTTTTTAATTAAATTTTATTAAAGAAAATTACTTGAAATTTTTTACATTAAGAATTTAAAGGCTCCTTATTCTCTTGTAGAAATTTATCACTACGCCAATTAATCACTTATTTTGAGTATTTAAAATACTATAATATACAGTAATTTAAGTATTCGAAATAAAAGTGATTAATTACTCGAAATAAGTGATAAATTGGCGTTACTAGTAATAAATTTCTATAAGGGTTGAAATAAAGTATAAGAGATAAATAGGCTATATGTGAGCCGTATGCGAAATGTGAGATGTAAGACGCATATTGAAATTTAATTTTTCGATATAACTTTCAAAAATGTACACGAGGTACAAAAAATTAGCTTGGACATTTGTAAGACTTAAAATTGGGATTAATTCTCAATTCTATTAATTAAATTTCGATATAACACACCTTACATCCGCGCACGGCTCACATATATATAGCCCATTTATTAGTGCAATTTTTAAGTTCCTTATTTTTCAAAGTTCACCTTTTTACGTTATCAAATATTTTTACGTTTTCAAGAATTTTATATTTTTACTTACCGCAGTTTCTTATCCAAATGTAAAATCTTTTATCGCAGTCTATAAAAAATTGAAACAATTTACAATTTTATGATATAATATTATTATTATTACAATTTCTATATATATGCACATCTGTCAAATATCGTGATTTATTTCACATTATTATTATCTATTTTAATAAAAAAAAACAAAAACACTTGCAACAATCAAAAATAAACCGCCTGCCGCGAACGGAAAATGCCAAGAAAGCACGCAATTTCCGCGAATCTCGTAATTTTTTTGAAAAATCAACAATTTCAACGAAATTGTAAATTCTTCAAATCACTGCACAAGTATAATTCACAATAATAATTTTCAGTAACTACGATAAAAAATCGTATACTGAAAACCGCAAACGAAAGTGCAATGGGAGTAAGAGTAAAGTCTGTGATAAAATTAATTGGCAATAGAAAATTAATAATTTTCAAATAGAAAAATTTGAAATTACCGAGGATTTACAAATAATAAAGTAAAAATATTAAATAATTTATGTTTTCGAATTTTGCTCGCGGAGAGGATCTTTAAAACAAGATTTTTAGAAGAGAGGACCTTTAAAATATAAACAGGCAAAAACGTTGGAAAAATTAAAGCGCGCGTTTAAACAGATAAACGCAATGAAATAAATACGCAATTGTTTTTACTTATCGCTGTAAGCTCACAAGCTTCTGACGTGCTATACACTTTTATATAATATATACAAGGTGTCCGGTAACTAACGGACCAATGATTAAGGGCGGATTCTCTGGCCAATTTGGAGACGATTTTTCCTTAGCAAAAATGTTGAGAAGTCAATAATTTTCGAGTTATAAGCGATTAAAAAAAATAGGTTTTTTGAAAACTAAACGTTTTGGAGTTAAAAGTCTAACATAATTACATTCTTCAGTTAATTTCAGGTAGAGTTTACTATAATAAAATTTTAATTTAAGGCTTAGTTATAAAGATACATAATGACAAAGATTGGAAAGTTGTAAAAAATGATGACCTTTTTCGACATTTTCGCTGAGGAAAAATCGTTCCCAAATTGACCAAAGAATCCATTTGTAATCATTGGTCTGTTAGTTACCGGACACCCTGTATATTGGACACGAGTTTCGTTTGTTTCAGATTCTCGAGAGTTGAAGTAGGAACATACGAGTATCATATATCGTTTGTGACTTGCCGAATGAAAGCAAGACAGAGAGCGAACGAGATGATGAGCTTAATAGCTCATAATGTTATAAATAAATAAATAAAAAATTATAACCTGACCTACTAGTTATTGAATCTTTTTTTAATAAAATGTTTCATTATTATTATCATCTAAGTCTAAGTCGTTTAATTACTTTTTAGTTTTTTAATAATTAATTTAATTTATTCTAGTCATTTTTATATGAGAAAAATAATATCACGTATACGTTTTATAATGAATTAATATATTTCGGGAATCGAATTATATATTCTTAATAATATAAAAGTGTTCAAAAATTATATTTGACTTTTAATTTTAATTATTTTATAGCAAAGAGTTCCGAAATCTCTTACACACATAATGGGGATTTTTTTCATCCATATAATTCGCAATTAAGTATATATGTTAATTATTAATTTTAATAAAATAAAAATTAAAATTAAAGGTCAAATATAATTTTTAAACACAAATATATTAAATTAATTATAAAACGTATACCCATGATAGTATTTTTCTCGTACAAAAATAATTAGAGTAAATTAAATTAATCATAAAAGATTAAAAATTAATTAAAGAATTTAAACTTATATTTTATATAATAATAATAAAACATTTTATTACGTCAAACCGTCGTGAAATAATTAAATAAAATTTGCTAGTTACGTCAAAGTCAAGTTTTCTAAGCTTATAAAACATTTTATTAAAAAACAGATTCAATAAATATAAGTACATGTTATATATATACTTATATTTATTGAATCTGTTTTTTTTATAAAATGTTTTATTATTATCATATATAATATAAATTATTTAATTATTTTTTAATTTTTTTATGAGTAATTTAATTTGTTCTAGTTATTTTTGTACGAGAAAAATACTATCACGGGTATACGTTTTATAACGAATTAAATATATTTATGTTCAAAAATTATATTTGACCTTTAATTTTAATTTTGTATTTTATTAAAATTAATAATTAACATATATACTTAATTGCGAATTATATGGATGAACAAAATCTCTATTATGTGTGTAAGAGATTTCGGAACTCTTTGCTAAAATAATTAAAATTAAAAGTCAAATATAATTTTTGAACACTTTTATATTATTAAAAATATATAATTCGACTCTCGAAATATATTAATTCATTATAAAACGTATACGTATTAGTATTTTTCACATATTAAAATGATTAGAATAAATTAAATTAATTATTAAAAAACTAAAAATTAATTAAACGACTTAGACTTAGATGATAATAATAATGAAACATTTATTAAAAAATAATTATAATAGGTCAGGTTAATATTTTATTTATTTATTTATTTATAACATCATAAAATTCTGTCCTTTCCGAAATACGCGAACGCTACGAAAAGATAAATCTCGTACATGCCGCCGGACGAGTTCATGAGCATGAGACGCTCTTATCTTGGGAACGTATTAATAGTTACTGCATTGACTACTACTACGATATGGCGCTGAAATCAGTGAGAAATGCTGGTCTCTCCTTCATCCAGACCTTTGGCGATCTGTCTATTAATCTGTGGCCGTACTCTCAGAAATTGTGTCAGAAACTAGAACTAGTTAGTCACTTAATTGTTGGTAACACAGAAAACTACTTATCGACGATATAAGTTCAAAATATATATATTTATTTGTAAATCGTGAAAGTAAGGTTAGAAAGAAAGAGGAATTAGCAGTTTATATATTTCTCAAAACGAAACAGATAAAAGAAAAAAAAAGAAATTATGTCCCTGTTTCCAGCTTATTCCAGCGATAAACTCGAGTCAACAAATAACGATAATACAGGTAATTTATACATATCTATGTATTTCGAACTTCGATCAATGTTTACATGTGAAAATAATTATGAAGAGAAAAATATTCCAACAAATACATAAATCTAGAATTCTCCGTTTCTAAATCAATTTATCCTCAGATAAAAATGTTTTGATAAAAATATGTTTCTTCTAGATAATTCCATCAAATGGTTGTCGAATTCGAGTTTTCAAACACCAGTACCAGCTAAAAGAGAGACTTCTAATTTATCTTTTGATTCTTCATCCGATGAATCTTTACATGACACACCTAGTGCAGAAAAACAAGTAAATTCTGAAACAACTCTTCCGGATACAAAGATACATGCAAAACAAAAAGAATCAAAAACTGACAAGGCACAAAAGGCAAAGAAGAAACGATATACACATGATAAGAAATATAAACCAGAATATGAACAAGATGTTAAGAATGTATATTTTGAAGATAAGCATAGAGATAAAGGAAATAATAACATAAATACATTCTGCCCTAGAGTGAGGCCATCTTATGAAATTAATGAAAAATTCATTAGTTTTATTAAACATAAACAACCAAAAGATACATTTCAGAGATATTATGTCAAAAGTATTGATGATTCTATTGAATCATTAAAGAAGAAAGATACAGTTATTAAAAAAACGATTGAAAAAGAAAGTTCAGTGCAAGATGAAGAGGTAAATGAAAATGTATCTTCTTGGTGTAAGAACTTAGAAGAGGAACAAAAGTGCAAAACTCGGGAATATAATGAACAATTGGCAGAAAATCCAGATAATATTGAACTTTGGTTACAATATATCAACTTTCAGGTATTAAATAAAATATTTTTTCTTATGAATTTGCGATTATTATAATATAATATATTATATAATATTGTAATAATTTAATATATAAGATTTATGCCAAGTTGAACTTTAATAATATTTTAACATTAATTTTAGGATACTCTGGTTTACTATCAGAGACAACAATTAGCCAAAGACATACATCGATCTACAGCACTGAAAAAGTTATCTATTGTTGAGAAAGCACTTGAGAAAAACATAGATTCCAAGGAATTATTGAAATTAAAATTACATTTGATGACAGAGTTAACACCTTCTGATGAACTGTCGAATCAATTGGAAGCATTAGTCAATAAGGATTCAGGAAACATTGTATTGTGGCAACACTTTATTATGGTCACACAAGCTTCGGTAGCAATGTGTACTGTACCGCGAGTATTGGATTTATATTCAAAGTGTTTTTGTGTTTTGAGACAACGCGCAAGAACAAATCCTTCTGTTTATGATGCACAATTGTTACGTAAGTAGACACTTTCACCAGTAATTTAATTACACATATCTTTATAACTATACACACATACTAATTTCTTGTATTTGTATATTTTATCTAGATATGCTATATCAATGTTTAATATTCTTAAGGCATACAGGATTATGGGAACAAATGTGGGAAACAATGCGTCTTAATCTGAATTTAAATCTAAACTTAAAACGAGCTAGTTTATCTTTTCGAGCTTCTATAGATGAAAAAAAATTAAGTAAGTTTATAATATACTTTACATATACAGAGAAGGTTTTTATAAAATAGTCTATTCAAAAAAATTGCAGAAATATCTTTAATTATTTATATCAAATAATTATAAAGAATTGCTATATGAAAACTATGAAGTTCATTGTGGAAATTAAATATATTATTTGATAAATTCAATAATGATTGACCTTCTATCCAGCATACAATAAAGTGAAAAATTCTGTATATAATTATATATAAAATTATATATAGTAAATATATAAAATCTATATTTAGCCAATTATATTCACAAGGAGAACTTGATGGAAGTTTTTTTATGATGTTCTAATAATATACTGTTATCTATTGTTTCTAATAATAATGTTGAATTTTAGTTGGAATGGAAGAGATAATATTGATGTCACGGCTACCGCTTAATCAACTGTGGCAAAGGGTAGAATCATTAAGAGAGAATTGTCATTGGATTAGTGTTAGTAGAGATGAATTAGAGTTGGTTGGAGATTCTCGAAGATTTATTTTACCGGAAGATGTAGCAGATTTTGTACATCCAATTCTCTCTCGTAATTCAAACTTCCAAATGGCTATTTATACTTTTTTGTGTCTGAAAGTACCACTTCTGCCTTGTCGGGATTATTATATAAATGTAAGTTATCTTGTTTGAAAATTTTAAATACAACTTTGTAAGTAATTGAAAAACGTAGAGTTATAAAGACTGAGAAAAAATTAGATTGTGGAATATATTTAAAATTTAACAGATTTATAAATAAATATTTTATATTTTTGTAGGAATTATTATTGAAAGACTTTAATTGGGGTATAGAGTCTTTGGAAGTATTGCTTCCATTCATGTATCCTATGATAGGTGAAATGGCTGGTCATAACCAAAGAAAAGAATTATTGAAGGATCTTCTTGAAGGACGTTTAACATCAGGTCCTCAATATATCAAGTTTCATCCAGCACAAGAATCATATTTGGATTTTGTACGTAAAATATTCCATACAATCGCAGAAAGTTTACCCTCGCTCCAACGAACGAGTATATATGTCTGGTGGTTGCGATTGGAAAGATTACTAGTTTCTCTCAACAAAGATGAACCCTTGAAACATGATAATAAGTAAGATTTTTATACCAAAATATCTAATACATTTAATTAAGAATGTGAAACAAAGATACTTTTTTTATTGCAGAGGGAAAAAACTAAGGACAACATTGAAAGAGTTTTTAAAAAAAGACGAAAATAGAAATAATCTGTACTTCTACAAGGAATATGCCTTAATAGAATTGGAAATGGGCAGATTCAGTAACTGCATGAATATCCTTGAGACTGCCATTCAATCTCAAGGCACATGCCCTTCTGCAATTACCAACAAGTTTGAGAGAGCAGCGCTTTTTAATGTGTATAGAACATTCATTGAGACGTTACTCGATATTAGAACGTACAACGAATCGCATAAACAATGGATAATAAAAGTCTTTGGTCAAATGGTATCTAATATAAACGAAAATCAAGACTCATCGATTGAAACATATTTACATTCGTGTGTGCAAGACTTTCTGCGAGTTGCTCCTGATGAGAATGAAAAGGATACCTTTTTTCTGTCAAATTTACAATGCGATGCGATTGTATGTTACACTTACTTTCTATACATAAAAAACGATGATATCCAAAGTGTTATCAAGATATTGGAAAATTGTATCGATCATTCCAAGGATTATCCTTATTTACAGGTGTCAATTTAATATTTCTTTACCTCAATTTTTGCTGCTAAGAAATATAAATATATAAATATATAATTTTGAAATTGTTTACAGGAAATGTTATATGAAAGTCAAATTGCAATTTTGCAATTACATTACGAAAGGACTAAGACATTAGAGTCTGTGTTAAAAGAGACTCTAAGTAGAGCTTTAAATATATATCCAAATAACTTTTATGCTCTTTCTGTATTTGCCGTCATAGAGGTAAAAGCATCACGTTATATTACAGTTGCATTAAATAAGATTTTATATATATATATATATATATATATATATAACATCTTACAATTAGAATAGTAAATATTATTATTACATATATATACGCGTATGTAATAATATTTATTCTAAGACTTGATAAGGAAAGATTATTGAATTAAATGATAAAATTATTATATACAGAGTGAATTGCCAACTTGGAGATTCAATAGTAGAAATTCTGAAATTAAATTGTGGCGAGCCATTGCGATGTGTTTAGCCGCTCGCAGACGAATTGATCTCTTAATGAAACTTGATCATCCCTATGCGGTGAATGCTGGATTGAATAAGCTATTATCGTTTCATCAAACCCTTTCTAGGTATAGAAATAGAATGTTTGTAACATTCAAAACTATTAAGTGTATTTGTGAATAAAATTATATTTATATTATGTATATATGTATCTGCTACATAATATTTTAATACAAAATTTTCAGAATACCATCAATTAGATGTTGTCCTTTATTATGGAGACTGTATATGTTCTTACTTCGGGAGCATAATTTGTGTGAGAAAAAGGGAGAAGAAATTTATCACGAGAGCGTCACTCAGTGTCCATGGGCGAGAAGCATTTACATAGATGCAGCTGAAGTAGCACCTCAACTTCTTACACAGATCCAGGATCTCATACGCGAGAAAGAATTAAGATTGCATGTCACACCTGAAGAATTGGATATTCTACGCGGATAATTTAATTCTTTAATAACTAGAAAAGGTACATATATTTAAAATGTATAATAATACTTATTTGTTATATAATTTTCTTATTATAAGAAAGTTTATTATATTTATAAAAAGTTACAATTTGCAATTGTGTAAACTTGTATATTGCTTAAATTAAAAATATTTGAGAATACAGAATGTATACTAAATAAATCTTATATTTTATAATATGTAAAATAAGTATTAAAATAAAAATATAAAGTGCAATTTTATTTACTACTCCATAAAAATATTTTTACAAAAATATAAAATATTTATTACAAGAATATGATATATATTTAGAATGTTATATATATTAAATTAAGTACGCTGCATATAATTAATTATATTTGTTTAGTGCATTAAATCCATATTCCATTTTCTTGCAAACAGTGTTGGTCTGTAGGTGATGTTCAGAAGTCTGGAAGTTAGTGGTTAGATTAGTGATATGGTAAAAAACTTGTGTAAGCATTTTTTCTGGACAAATTTAAAAGACTGTTTTTATAGTCAAGTAAATAATTTTCTTATTAAAATAATTAGTAATAATATTCTATAAACACGCATATTTTTTTCCAATAACAAAACTAACCTTAAATTAGCAGTGTATAACTATTATATGTGCATTTTAATATGACAATAGCAATATAAAATGTTTTTACAAAAGCATATTAAATAAAAAAACATTAAAAACATCACTTACAGTATTGTGAAATTCTCTATATATACGTATTATATTATTATATATTTTTTATTACAGAGAACCTGTAATAAATATATATTTTTTAAAAGATGGATTTGAAAGCTACAGTTATTTCTGGAGAAGCTCCAGAATCTGATGATGATGTATCAAATATTGCCACTGTACGTCATGTATCATTATTACATTTTACAATTTACATTTTTTACACTTTACTAATAAAGAAATCATCTACAGGGTTTAGGTTTTCCTTCTGTGCGAACACCATCAACCTACTGTGGTACTATTATTTCTGGTGAAGCACCAGAATCTGATGATGGTGAGTTTGAGTATTTTCGTTGAAACAAAAATCTAAATAAATGTTCAACATTTTTACTTTTTTTTAGATTTAACAAGTTTGAGTAGCATTAGTGGAGCAATGGATGCTATGGCGTGTCCTCCTTATACAGATCTTAAGATACAAAAATCTAAAAGGAGTTCTATCAAATACAATAGTTTACTGCACAAAAAATTACGTAAGTGACTGAATAATAATTTCTAATTTATTTTATATTTTTTCCTTATATTTATAAAAATATTATATAAAGTATTGCAAGCCCATTTCTATTATATCTTATATTTAAAAATATAAAATATAAAAATTCAAAAATTGACAAGTTGTTTTACTTTTGTTAACTTTCTTTTATTAATATTACAGCAGTATAATATGTGCATAACTATAGCTAAACATTACATTACATGTTTGTGTATGAAATATTAATAACTTAATTCTTCGGTGATCTGTACTTCTATTGTAACTCAATTTCGGTTTACTGCATCTAAAAACTCGATCGCGCGCATAATTATAGTATCTATCTAATTTACACTGTACAAACAATTTTCTTACAAGTTTTTATAAAACAGCATTTACGAAAGACATTAAATTATACCTCTAAACAAAATCGACGTACTTATATATGTACTGCTTATTAATTTTGAACATTGTTTAAATTGACATATGTGTTAAATTTGAACAGACGAATGCAATGAAACCTTGGATAGGGACATACTGCAAATGACCGAGGGCACGATCGCAACCAGCGTACAAGAATTGTCGACAGTTAATCGACAACTGCTGAGAAGTGAACTGGTATTACAAGAGGCTGTTTGTCAATTACGTAACGCATCCGGTCGAATAAAAGATGCCTCTGACGCTCTACATCAACTTATAGACGACAAGTTCTTGAATTCCATTAAAACTTAATTTCTAAAAATTATATTAGTGCGTATTTTTATTCTTAAGATTTACTTAATAACGATGAGTAATATAGCACGTGTTAATATAGAACATGTCATTTTTTTCGTGAAACCGCGCATTAGATGCGGGTATGAAAGAGATGCGCAAGACCCTCTTTACGATTGGGAATATTGTTTGAGCATTAATCGATTTTTTTCTTTTAACTCTGGCAGTACTATTTAATGTGTCCTTTTTTATATACTTTCTAACACATCTTCATTCGTTTTGAGAAAATTTTCTACCCAATCACTTAAATTCATTATAAACTAATACTCTAAAATTGATTTACGGAACCGAATGTATTGCGCCTGATTTAACGTGAGATATTCGATCGATAACAGCAAATAGTTTGATATTGATTGTTGCGCTTTTCATTTCCGTGAATTTTAATGCGACGGTGGTATATGTGCATTCCAATGTAAATATATGTATAATGCAGTTAGTATGTGTGCATAGGAGATATGATAATTATATTACAATATAAATATCAAGGAACACACGTTACAATATTTTGAAACAAGGCATTTCTGCAAAGAATAAACATACACTTTCTTACGGATTAAAAAAAATGTATTGCAAATGTGTATTACTTTTCATATTGGGTAACTTTCAAAAATCACATGAATATAAATATGACATTGTGGATTTGTTAGGAGATTATATAATCCTTTAATTGGAATAATATTTAGTACCTATAGTTTATACGTGTATGTATAGTCTTGCAAGAAATACCTATCTCTTTTCTGCAGGTTTCTTTGTTTTTCTTTTTTTATCAAATAGCACAATTTTGCTTGGTATCAAAGGACTGATATCGACTTTTTTTCTTGTCGCTATTACATCGCTAATGTTAGTGTACAATGAATTAGTGATTTCAATGGAGATGGTTTTCGTTTTCTCTATAAATTCAGTCTTAAATATTCCATATATCAATCTTCGTTGAACTAAATCTCGGTATAATGGTATCTAAGTACAAAAATTCCATAAACGAAACATATTCTGCTAAGACTTGATATGGCAACGCGGCGACGGAATATATCCACTTCAAAAAATGTTATTTATGCACAGCTTCGCTTTTTTGCTTCTTACATATTTATTCAGATAAGTTAGCAGCTAAATTGCGCGTGTATATAATTCTGTCAATATAGCAAGGTATCTTACTTTAAAGCAATTCCATATGCTCACTAAAGGATGTAAAGTATTGCCAAAGCATAGTTGTGCCACTGAATTGTGTATATAGATTAAAAAAATTCTACAAAAAACTTAGAACTATATATTATTTCTTCTATACACGAGACCAAACCTCTATGGTTATTATTGTAGTACTAAATTCCCGAGAGCGAATAATACAAGTTATTTGTGTTTATTTCTGTACAGTGTTTTCTCTTGTCTCTGATTCTTCTTCATGTTCTTCGAACAAGAGAGAGAATACAAGATCATCATTGACACTTCTTACGTGTCAACTTTGGTAACAACTAATACTTGTGTGTATGTTCTCAGTTACACTTTCTATTGTAAACAAAAATTTAAATGGGCTCAATTCCAGAATAGGATTAAAGTTTGTTGCAGTTGACGACCTTTATAGAATATGCGACGTCGCACTCTATACATATTAGCCAATGTGAGGGCGCCCACCCCCCACATGGCCTACGCTCGCTCCATCTCACCACCACTTGCGTACATCTGAAGAAGGGCCATAGATTCTTGTGCTTGTCGCTTCTCCGCCAGAAATCTACCTGAAGCTTCCTTCAGCTGCTCGAGGAAAAGTCTATAACAAAATTGGAAAAAATCAACATTAATGTCTTTTTTTTTGTTTTAAGATAATCAGACTTGGACAAATTCTGCAATTATTTATTACCTACCTATCAGGCACTATATCGGCTAAACTGTCGGGATCCATATCGCTAAGTAATTCCAGATCGTTTCCTCCAAGGAGCGAGATATGCGATGGATCACCATGCAGCGACGATACTAGAGGCTCTATAGGCGTCCGTCGCCGTCGAATTTTATCAGTTCTTGAACCACCTTCCGCATCTACGTCGTCTACAACGATATAACGGGATGCCGTCGTGCTACTCCCCGCAGCGATCCATTTTTGATCACCATGTAACACCATCAAGCTTGTATTCCTTTCTAATGTAGCGAAATATTCTTCATCATCTACTTCTGTTCCTGAAAGGAAAAAGGAATCAATGTATAAGAAAAAATTCCACTTATTACAAATAATCAGTTATCAGGCAAATAATTTTTGTTTATAATATGCACATTTATGATATATATTATAATTATAAATAATTTTAAATAAATATATTTATTGTATTATATATTGTACACATATTATATATTATATATTATAAATTATATATATTTATTATATTAATAAAAATATATAATAATTTTAAAAAAATATTAAAAATTAAAATATTCAGTATATTAAAAGAGGACGATTATATGTTGCAGCATAAATATTCTCTTACCATCCTGCTCGAGTACGATTGTCAGATCTGCGTCCACGGGTAGTGCCAGACGATTACGTGCAATGTTGGTCAGCTCCTTCAGCGACGAAGCGGTGATGCCCTTTCTTCGCTCCCTGGTATGATCGACTATTTTGTAAGGATTACCCATTCCCTGGGTGATTCCCGTTGTATCTGACATCTTTCCTCACGAGTGGCGAACGAGAGCAAATATTAACTTTGCTGGTCGCTAGTAATTGCCGTTTCGTATCGCACAATTCTGGGGTAGATCTACGCCCTGTGATAAACACAACCGTCTAAGTCAGAAGATTTACTTTCTCGGAGAAAATTGACTTTGCTGTTAAGGCCTGATTCTCGTTGCACATCAGTTGGTCGATGGTGCTTCGACGGTATGACGAAATTTGAATGATTTCGTCGCGCGCCCCAATAATGACAGAGATGAGAGGGAATACGCCCTTGTACAAGATGTAACAAACACTCTTGTGCGATGAACACGGTGTAAAAACACGCTGTTTCTTTTTTTATTTTTTAACGTCAATGAGATAAAGATATCCCCTCGACGATAATGCACTAGGCGACAGCAGCTGTCTGATTTTTTAAATTAAAAAATCGTATCACTCGAGAGAAACAATCAGATATGAAAGGGCAGTGCTCAGGATTGCGTTGGATCGACCTGGTAGACTGACGAGGATTCGAACGAGATTCGAGAGGCTGCTGCTTTTATATCTGCCAAACTCAAAATTCACAGACAAAAAGATCGGCAGAAAGTGGTAGCAACGACGATTGTGCGACGCGTTGGAAAGAGAAAATAGAGAGAAGAGAAAGAATGTATGTGATGCCTCGAGTGACTGAACTGACCGTGTGTCAACCCAACACTGGGTCAACGGTGCAACTACCCTTTCTATTTATACCCCGTGTAGACTCTCCCGCAGGTATATACGCACGAGCGAGAGACACCCCGACACAGCATCTACCCCACCCACCTACCCATCCAACCCTCTGTCCCCTGTGGTATCCCCCATACAGAAATCAATAACCTACCCCTACTCTGCGCTCATTTTTTTCATCACGGCGCCGAGACGAGAAATTTATAAAAATACCCCACATGCATCGCCGATAAAGAGGACGATCTCCGGATGCAAAAACATTGATGAGATTGATGAGATAATTCACGACACGTGCCGATCGATCCATTTCTTTGAACTCGAAAAGGGCGATAAAAATAAAAATGTTTTCTGCGATATTGGTACGTGCAATTTAGATGATGTGCGATTTCGTGGAAAGATATTTTATGGAAGTTAGAGTTTTTTTTTATCAAAAACAGATAAAAATTTCAGAGGTCCGTTCTATTATTTTGTATTGTTGAAGTATTTTAATACACAAAAGATATACATATGTTCTGTGATATATTTTTATTATAACTTAAAATGCATTAAAAAATATTATTTTTTAATGCATTTTAAGTTATAATAAAAATTTAATTTTTTATTTATTATTTTAATACTAAATAATCAATGCATTTATAAATGCAATATTCAAATAAATATAATATTTAATTTCAAATAAATAATTATATATTACCTATATAAAAAAATGATATATGTATATACTGCAACATATATTTACATATTATTTTTATTACTGATTATATATATATATATATATATTAGAACGGTATATATTTCATCAGAACGAAAATTTTAATTAATAATTACGAAGAAAATTATTAATTATTACATATATATAAACTCTTATTTTTTTATTGCATTAAATGTATACATTTTATCTATATATCATTATATAGAAAATTTGCATCAATAATTTAATTAGAATATTAAAATTATTTAAAATATATCGAATTTTAATTGCTTGATATAAATTCAATTTTGGTTTGCTAGGATTTTTGAACTTAGGACACAGCACTGTAGTTAAATTTAGATCAATGAGACTAGACACTGTTTTAAGTTTAAAGTTAGCTCAGACATAGCCCAGTTAGGGCTCCTAGGTGAGCCACAGAATCCATTCGAATGGAGTCAATTACATTTGGCTAGGATTTTAATTAAAAATCTGTATTAAAAAAATGCCATCAAGTGGAAATAAAGAATCCGACGACAGTCAGACATGGGAGTTGGCAGAACGGTGTCTATTACCCATCGCATTTTCACATGCAATTGCAGTCATCCTGGCAACTATATTGAATACTTTTGGGATCTCACAAACATCTAGTTTTGTGCTCTTCTTGTTGCTACTAGTCATATCTATAGGATCCACATTGTTCTACCACAATCTGAAGGTAAGATATATTTGTGATGTAGTTTCCTAATAAAAAGCAAATAACACTGGTGTCTATTTTTTTAAAGCAAATTTTGATTATAATAGTGCTTATCTCTCACTTTTCTCTTTCTCTCCTTTTTTAGTAATAATTATAAAAAATTATTTAAAAAATGTATAATTGTGCAAAAGAAAATTCATAATTTATTCTCTCTCTGTGACCTTCGAATAAATTAAGATATAAATGTTATATCTTAATGACAAAACTATACATATATCTTCCTCACCTTTCATAATGTCAGCTTTGCTTGCGAATATTAAAAGTTCAAAGGCCTTCTCTGTATCGGAATTTTTACGGATTTTTGCACCATGCCTGATTGAAACGCTTGACCTTTTTTATAATACAACATGCATACTTCCTATCATCGTTGCATACTTCCTGTTTTATATTTTTTCACAAAAGACTCCAACTATCATAGTCCGCGTTCAATGACTTTAAAATATGAAATTTCATAAGATTAAGATTTAACAAATTAGATACACTTTTAAATATGCATCATATACAGTTTATTTGATGCAACAGGTTACTACAGCAGGAAAGGCAGTGCTAATCACAGGTTGCGATTCGCGAGTCGGATATGCTTTAGCTAAACAATTGGATGACTTGGTAATATATATGTGAAGTGTTAAAAATTCAATATATAAATTAAAGCCAATAATTTATATAGCTTTTTTTCTTTTAAGGGCTTCACTGTATTTGCTGGATTCACTAATAAAGCTGACAATGAAGAGATTATGCAAAAATTGAAAGATGATGCTTCTGGAAGACTGCACGCGCTACAATTGGATGTCACCAGCGAACGTGATATACACTCAACTTTCCTTTACGTCAATGAAAACTTGCCTGATGGAGCTCCTGGTATATATCGGCATATCTCTTAAACCTCACAAGATTATAAACCTTTGATGTAATGGATTACATCCTACGTCACATTATATGTTATTTCAGGACTGTGGGCACTCGTGCATGCTGCTGCCTGGGTGACTCTCGGAGAATGCGAGTGGGTGCCCCCATCTGTTCTCAAGCGAAGCATAGACATCAACTTCATCGGCCTAGCACGTTTAACTCAGGTACTCTAAGCGTCACAAATGTCAAAAGGTAAGAGAAACCTATAGCGAAACAATATTCTCTTATACTTTCTCCATAATAGGTATTTCTACCCTTGGTCAGGAGGTCGAAGGGTCGAATTGTTCTTGTTAGCAGCCTCTTGGCACGAATACCGAGCCCTGTTCGAGGCATTTATTGTGCACTTAAGGTAAATTTTCTTTGTCGATTATATCGTGCCTTCTATCTGTTTGTATAATCATAAAACTGGAAGTATTGATAAAGCTCGAGCAACTCTGTAGAAAATTTATAAATATCTTAGGCCGCTGTGGAAGCTTGGGGCTCCTGCTTAAGATTGGAGATGCGGAGATGGGGTGTAGATGTTGTAATTGTCGAAACCGGAGAATACGTGTCCGGTAATGCATGGCTGAAGGACAATACTGCATTGTTGGAACAAGCTAGAGATATGTGGACTCAATTGGATCCCCAAACTCGTAAGGAGTACGGTCAAGAGTTGTTTCAGACGGAAATGCTGGCTCTAGAAAAGTACACCCAGGGACCAGAAGCAGATTTAACCGCTGTTACGAGAACCCTAACAGATGCTGTGGTAAAAACTTTCCCGATGAGGCGATATACACCTGTAACGCGTAAGGAAAGAATGCAAGCCTTGTGTAATCATTATCTACCAAAACCAATTTACGACATATTGTATGCAAACTAAATTTATCTCCTGTGTAATATATATATATATATATGGACAAATCAATGCTCAGATACATATGGAAAGATATTTTTTGAGAATAGATGACGTCACATAATAATAAGTTTTATGTAAAACAGAAATGAGACAAAAACTTTTTTAGCAGATTATATAATTGTCCAAAACACTGCCTATGTAAAACAGTTGCAGTGGAATACTCTGCAAATTTAATAAAAAGCTAATAAATAGATAAAATTACCAAATTTACACAAATCTAAAGTTTCATTTTTTTTAGTAAAACCTACTCGTATAAATAATATATGTATCTTAATATACATATTCTATAATTATTTTGCAAAATATATATTTTTAGATTTAAAATAACATATAGAAATAGTATCTTTGCAATTACATTTTAGATATACAGTTTTAATAAAACATTACATATATGCAAAATTAAATAATTAAACATTTTAGTAATTCGAATAGAATAACATTTTAATATCATCGTTGATTTTTCTTCTTGATGCATACTTATATTTAATGCATACTTGATGCATACAAAATTAAAAAAAAATCAAAAATAGAAAATAAGCAATATAAACAACAGGAAAAACTAACCTCTTCATTACACATTTGTCACTGGCATCAAACTATCGAAATATCGACGACACTCGGCAACGTGAACCAATGACGTTTGAGATAAGAAAGCGAGTCATGCTATCAAATCTCTCTTGTGATTGGTCGATTCACCGGCATTTTTGGGCTCCACTGGTATCGACCAATAGCAAAGCGAGTCTATGCGCAAGCGAACGGAAGAAACGCATCATGAATTCATGAATGCGAACCACTGTTAGCCATCAAACTCCATCGCGAGTTCATCCGGTATATCGTGCAGTTTTGTGTGCGTTCTTAATTTACGGAGCAAGTGTCAAAAAATTCGTGCGAATTATCGACTATATATATAGTGAAGTCCACATTCGTTCTGCTATAGTCGTCTCTCGCAGTCTAATCTGCATTTGAAATCAAAGTCCAAGATTGCTTGCACGAACAAGCTTCGTAATACAAAATGGCATTGCCACCGAATTACAAACAAGTCGCAATGGCTGCGTCGAATATCGTAGCCTCTAATCGTAAGTAATCATTAGTTTTTCTCCTAAAACATAAAACTGAATAATTAGCTTTAAATTCGAGACGTCTAAATGATGATTTTTCTCGCTCATGCTTTTTTAGAGGCGGCCAGGGGGATACTAAGTAATTTAATTTTGATTTGATTTTTTCATGAAAATTTATTTATATTAAAAATTTGTTATTAAATATTTATTTTTAAAAAATGTCAAATTGAAATTTATTTTAATTGTTTGATAGTGGATCAAGAAAAATTTGTGGCCAGTGCTCAATTAAACAATTTCAAATTTGAAAATTAATTTTCTTTGAAACTGAGACAATATCTTACTAATTGTGATGTTTTAATGTCTTGTTGTAGAACGTATAAGAGCATCCGGTGGAAGTTCAAGTAGTTCAACAAACAGTGTAAGTAGAAATTACTATGATAAAATATATTTATCAGATATTTCAATTTAAGAATTAGATTTTTAAAATTGACTTTGTTTTTAGAAAGATACTCAGAGTCCATTTGTGCAGACTCCGCATAGCCATCCAGGATTTATACCACAAAAAGTTGGAAAAAACACCAATGTATATATCTAGTTTTATATAAATTAAAAAATTATATTAAATTAATGAAAGTTTTATTGTAAAAAAATTTTATTGTAATATTGATAATTTTTTATTATTAGGCTGACTCTCGTATGCTGAAACCACCTAAACCACCAGAGAAACCCCTTATGCCATATATGAGATATAGCAGGAAGGTATGGGATCAAGTAAAGGCTCAGAATCCTGAATTAAAACTATGGGAAATAGGCAAAATTATTGGACAAATGTGGAGAGATTTGCCAGAAGAAGATAAAACTGAATTTATTGAAGAATATGAAACTGAGAAGGTATGCAAATGTATCTTATGATGATTTAATTTTATTTTATAATTTGATATTAACATACATACAATTGTTTCATTACTTAATTGTAGGTGGAATATGAAAAAAGCTTGAAGATTTATCACAATTCGCCTGCATACTTAAATTATATTGCAGCTAAAAATCGTGGAAAGTCTGGTAGGTTGAATATATGGTAAACATAATTTTACTTATAATAACTGAGTGTATGTAATAGTGAAATAATCTTATAACATTACAATATCTCTCTATCTTATTGCAGCATTGTGTGCAGCACAACAAAACAATGATGATCGAGAAAGCCACGAACGTTCATCAGGTAGCAGTAAAAGTCAAGCGGCTCAGGATAGGAGGATTGATATTTTACCAGCAGAAGATGATGATGGTACATAAAAAAATATAACGATTATTAGTATTATTATTATAAATTAATATGTATGCATTTATTTTCTATAATTGCCACTTGATTTGTAGATCAAGATGATGGATACTCTGTGAAGCATGTGGCATATTCGCGTTACACGAGAAATCATCGACTTATCAATGAGATCTTTAGTGATACCGTTGTCCCAGATGTTCGTTCGGTAGTCACTACTCAAAGAATGCAGGTTTTACGACGTCAAGTACAGTCTTTAACAATGCATCAGGTAATTAATGCGTGTGCATATATATATGTTTTATAATATTTTAAACTAAAATATGTTTTAAAAATTCCAGAAAAAACTTGAAGCCGAATTGCAACAAATTGAAGAGAAATTTGAAGCAAAAAAACGTAAATTCATAGAAACCAGTGAAATATTCCAAGAAGAATTAAAAAAGGTAAGGAAACTTTTTTTTTAATTAATAGTAAGGTATATAAAATATTTTAATTTTCTTTTTAAGCACTGTAAACCAGCAGTAGATGAGGAAACGTTTAACAAAATGGTAGAACGGCAATATGAAGCTCTTAGACGGGAAAGACTAAAAGGAACAGAAGAGAATCGTTCGGATGGACCGGCTTCCAGCGAATCCACTCCAAACTCTACTCCGACTCCGACTCCTGCGTCACTTAACGATGAGATCCAACCTGATGTAAAATAATATTTAAATCATGTTCATATAAAACTCCAAACGTCAATATATATTATATAATACTTGTATTTTCAATTATTCACAGGTTTCTGACAACGATTCGATCGAGAAGAAACCCAGTAGCGTTGATAAACCTAATATCGAAATGAATAAGAAAATGTCGCCTCCGTACATCGAAAATAAGCCCGAGCCACCATCAGTTGTACAAGCAAACGCTAATCAGCAGCACGCTGGGCCCAACTCTGGAATGTACTGCAATAACGTCAATCCAATTCAACAGCATCCGCATCAGCAACAGACGCAAACGCCGCAGCATCAACCGCCACCACCGCAACATCAACCGCCGCCTTCTCAGCAACAGCCGCATCAGCCTCCTCCGCTGACGCAGCAGCATCAGCCACCGCCACCGCCGCCTCAGCAGCATCAACCGCTACCTGTTCCGCAACATCAGGCGCCGCCGTCGCTGCAACCGCAACCACCGCCGCAACAGCAGCAACAATCACCGCAATCGCAGCAGCAACAACCGTCAGCGCCGCCGGTGCTGACGCCTCAACAACCGACCACGACAGCCACGGCAGCGGCGGCTGCGGTTGCGGCGGTGGTTGCGAGCGCAAACGCGACCGCGAATTCCACTCCACCGAATATGCCGCCGGTGTCCGCACCAGCGGTACCGATCCAACATAATCCACATCAGCAGGGAATGATGGCGAATCATTCGATGCCACCGCATCAAGCGACGCAAGGTTCCCAGGGTACGCAGGTCTTGCCGCCGCAAGGACCGAGTCCTCATACTCCGCAGATGATGCCGCCCAACCAAGCTTACGGCCAGCAACCGTATCAGTCCGGACCCGGACCTCAACAACCGCAGAATGTTCCTCTAGCTCCGAGGCCGCCGCATCCAAGTTATAGTTACTCTCAACAGCAACCGTATCATCAACCTTATCCACAATACGCTCATCCGTATTATCATCAACCGTATTCGCAGTACTCGCCCCATCCAATGGGTCGTCCCCATGGCCACGGTCCTCATAGTCCGCACAGTCCACATTATCATCCTCAGTCACCTCACACGGTTCCTGCTGAAAGTAATACTAATACTAATGTCGCAGGCGGTTCCGCAGCCGCCGCGGGTAACGCACCTGCTCCTGAGAACAATAATTCTGCTTCATATTCTTCGGGACACTGCGAGAACGAACGTTCCGGTTCGGCGGAGAATCAGGAAGGTCAAGTAGACGCTAAATCAGGATCTACTTAATTATTGTTTATTTTAATTGTTTCTTTTTATTATTTTACAAATTCTGAATTAACATGTATTCGACTATTCCTTCCTATATTATGTTGCATTCACACAAACTTTCAACATAATCCTTCCATTTATAAAGTAAAAATGTAGTGATAATCTTTAGCTTTATTATGGCTTGCACGCAACACATACCACAGATACACGAAATTGTAAACCGTTCCATGTGAAATGATTGTATTGCAAGGTAAAATGGATAGCAGAAATGTACAAAATGCTCTCTGATTTTATCTTTGTTAGGATAATCAGTCTTATTTCACTGGTTTCATTTGCCAAAGTCCATCATTTAAATAATGACAATTTTCGATGCCTATTCCCTTGTTTACTTTGGCACTACAAATCACAAAATAATACATTTAAAAAATAAGTATTGAAAAAAAAAAAAGAAATTATTTCAACTTACATGTCTTCTGTTGATAATGTTGTAATTCCAACAGCTAACGCATGTTGCTTGCCCTCTGCCATAACAGCCTATACATCTCGAGTTAAGGATTGGTATATCAATGTGAAATAAACTAATTAAAATATATAAAAAAATATCTGATATTGATTTTGTATTTGAAGGATACGACAACAGTTCCTTTATTCACAGTCATCATCTTTGCGCCTTTTGATGTTAAACCAGGGCACATTATGTTGGCACCGCTAAGAACAAATCTAATAGCACCTTTATCAACTTGCTGCATTGGCAAGAAGAATGGATCTGAAAATATATCATTTATAATAGTATAAAAGGAAATTTATGAATGTCTTTATTTTCAATTAATTAATGAACTTACACTTGTGTAATAATTTTAAAGTAGGCATCCAGGGGCCTTCACGTTGGCGAAAAAATAACAAATCTCCTGCTGCGTTCACTATGATCTCTATGTGGTCGTGACTGATGGATGTAAAAGCAAAATATATATTAAATTCTGGACGAGTCTTAATGCATAAAGAGGTAATTTACCATTTTACGATGCGGAAAGCGTCCTTTTTTGGTATTATAACGTCTATGTGACTATCCAGATGAGGATATAGTTCCAGGAGTTTCGAACGAATTCCCTTTTGTACAGACGATTTTAATTGCTGAACACCAGAAATGCTGTCCTTCTCGTCAAATCTACCGAAAAATAATGATAGAATAACGTAAAAACAATTATATAAATAATATTAAATATCTCTATCGTGTATTGTAACCAATTTTTTTTCAAGCGTTCTGTGTTTATCAAGACTGACATTTGACAAAATACTGATTTTTTATAGCTTTTTATAAAATAGAATATCTAAATTGTTTAATATATGTATTTAATATTCAAAAATGTATTTTTTTGCCTTGATATTGCATATTAGAGGGTATAATTGGTTACTGACAACTAACCAAAAAAAGCGTACTTTTTAAACATTTTCCTGATTTTCTATGATATACCACTGCTTTGAATACTTTAGAATGACGCATTCAATTAATCGATCATCCACGTCAAAATGTTAATTATTTTGAACACGACACTTTTTCAACAATTTACTTTACTTGCTCCAACATGCATGCGAAGACGTTGAGGTTAGTTGAATGTAGTGAACATAGCTGCGCACGCGTCACATATGTATGTACACACACATACGTACCATATGATGACCCACGTGACTATCGCGGTTTATTCAAAAAGATTTGCAGGATCCTTCCGCAAAAAAAAGCCTTTATGCGAAATAATAGCAACTATTCTCGCTGATAATTTTAAATAACACAGAAAAACTTTCTATGTTCGTAGATGCTTCAATTAATATAAATAAACCAATTTAAAAAACAAATATTAAAATTTGTTTATAATTATTATATACACAATAATGCATATATGTATAATTAATAATTTGAAAATATACGTATGATTTTTAGATTATATAAATAAAAAATTATTTCTTTTTTTGTAATTTTCTACATATATTCAATTCCAAATATGATTTTTATTTGCGAATATCAATTTTATACAAAACGCAGAATATATTGAATTTATTTAAAATAAATTTTTTGCTACGGAAAAAAATCAATTTTTTAAATTCACCAAAAATGAATAGATGAGAAATCTAATATGTTATACAATTTTTACTTCCAAAATATGTGCTTTTAAATATTAATACGCATTTTTTCTTCATTAATCCTTGCATTCAGAAATAATGGTTCTTTAAAATCTTTATCCTCTCCAAAAGATTAATTTATTGTCTAAAGAATATAACGTGTTATGGATTTGTATAAATTAATTTTTCGCTATATATATAATTCTACATTTTTATTTCGCAAGCAATATGTTTAAAAAAAGGAAGAAAATAAATGTGAACGTATACACACACTACAAATAAGTAATAATATATTATAGATAATATAATATATTAATTTATATTACATTATCTAGATTTACGTCTATTTATATTTCTCTCTCGAAAGAGAGAGAGAGAGAGAGAGAGGAGAGGATAAAGTCGCGCGCGTCGTAAATTTGCATTTCTTAAGAACTATATAGCAAATATCAAAACTTTCAGTCAAAAGTGCAAACGATCTTTCACTGGTATTCGAAAGAAGGATGCTTACTATATAGATTATTACGTATATATAGCTATCCATTAATATTTTTCAAGATTCATCGCGATTATTTTCTATACATAATTGCGATGCTTGCAAAAATTATCATTTCGCAAAATTGCGTGAGTTAATATATATATACGATATTTAGATCAATGTACAAGAAATTAGATGATGTGTATATGTGATGTTGTATATGATAATAATGCTATTATTCGTATAACAAATACGATATGCAACTCGTATATATCTTTTTTTATATTTCACAAGTACCTCAAATGCTAATTGTATCATTGCATTATCGTTTTACAAGCGATCTAATGTACAGCGGCACAACCTCACGTGCGTATTGCTAAAAATTGGACAAGGCATACGCGTTGTAATTTTATTTAACAATCCAAGTGTTTCGATCAACGCAATAATATACGTTTTTCGTTACATATGCAATAATAATCTTCCAAATCCTCGAGTAATCTTTTACTTTTATCGACGTACAATTTCACAAACTATACGAAGATGTAATAAAAGAAGATAAAGATCGTCAGTCGCCACAAGTCGTACTCTTATTGCGATCTACAGAAAAATGAAAGACATGTTCTCCGGTAAATTTATCAATCGTACAATTGATAATAGAGTATTTACAGTAATCTTCTAATATAAAATAATAATTCTAATTTTCTCCTATCTGTTTATATGCGTATTACAGATATATATATTCAAATCAGTTGAATCGCATGCGTGTTAAACGAGGATTCAAGTACTTGATGCCGAAGCTGTCTCATTGTCAGCTCAGAGCGTTTTATCAACAATTGTTTCCGGTAGCATCTATCTAAAAGAGACTAGCGCAACGAGAGAAAACAAACGTTACGTATTTTTATTTTATCATTTGAGATTTTTCGGATGTAATTATATCCTTTCGCAATAATCACGCGCGCGAATTTTTCGCGCTTCTTCCTCCTTTTTTCTTTTCTACAGCTGCGCATGTTCGGAGCCTGAGATAAGAAAGTCGCGAATCGAAGCTGAAGTACGCACTGATTTCTGACGAAATTACAACCAATGTAATAAAAATTACGTAAAATCTCGAGAGCTTCTACAAACATCAGACAATATATAATCCTTAACGAAAATAATTTATAATAAGTTAATTTTAAATAAGGATATAAAAGCAGGGGAGAAAAAACAGAACGAGAATCGCTCGACCTAAAATGATAATTCGCGATTATCATCTCGCGTTCACATTTCGCTTATAACATGATCGCTAATCATATCGGAATTACGGTACATACCGCGTTATCCTACATGAAAAGTACCAAATATATAAATTAGCCCGAAGTATTTATACGGCGATGACGTGAATGAATATAATCGTCGTTCATTCCGCTCTCGTTCGTTGTTCTAGATCTTCAAGATAATCTAGAATGCAGGATCCATCGTTTACATACGTGTAGAGAGAATTTTCTGAATTCTCTTACCAAAAACACACCGCAAACGATTCGTGATGATTGGTCAAGTACGTCGTATTAATTACGGATTCGTATCTACAAGCAAACAAAAATTCGAGAACGCAACAACGTTGATAAATATGAAGAAATATTTTAATTTACATAACATATCATATATATATATATATATATATATATATATATATATATATATATATATATATATATATATAGACATTTTTGTTAATTCTGAAAAACAATCTAATATAAATTTTGTAAACTCTCTGAAATAATTTATAAAATAGCGTTCGCACTACGTGGTGAAGAGAAGAGAGAGAGAGAGCCGAACAGAGGATGAGAGATAAAACATGATATAACACCGTAATACCGTTTTTTAAATATTACAAGCAGCCTTTGCGCGCGCACACACATCTCTCCGAAAAAAGTTCATAGCTTTCGTATGCGAAGCGTAAGAGAGAATCAAATAATTTCCTCATCCTTCCTTTTCTTCTTCAGCTTAAAAATCCGGGTCAGATTAGACGTGGGGGAGATCCCACGAAATAGAGTTATAGATGTTGCCACTGGGTCGGCATAAGACTGTTCGAGGACTGCTCGATGGCCCTGGCCACGGATTCGTGGAGTCCATGACCGAGCCATATGTGGTTCAATCTTCGATACTTCTCGTGGCACAGATGCAACGGATTACCCCGTCGCAGACCCTGATCCGTCTCGCCGTATTCGTCCAGGTACGGCGGACACACGAAGGAGCCGCGATTCGGCGTGCGCAGGAACAGAATCTCGCATTCGCGTACGCGCAGAAATATCCCGATGCCGTAGCCGCACTTACTCGCGTGATACGTGCACGCACCTACCGAGATCTTGTTGAGCTCCGTTTGACAGCAGTAGCTCTGAGAGCAGAGCATCTCGCCGCATACCAAGCACATCGTCGGATTGCGCGAGTCCTCCCGATCGCTATTCGGGCAGGTGAACTGGGATATCGAATTGATGAGCTCGCTGTAGTCGTCGGGAAGGTCCACCAGCTTGTTCACCATCAGCGGATCCTTGACGATCGGTATCTTCTTGGTTCCCGTGCGATAATTCCACACGGTAGGGTGATTTCGCCACACGTCTATCAGTTTCATGGTAACATCTAGATGGGAATAGATTAAAGCGTCGCAAGTAGCGGGCAGTCCTAAATACAGACAGAGTTTCTCGTACGTGTCGCCGTGCGTCTCCGTAAGCTCGGTCGGCGGCGGGACGTCGGACACGTAATGAAAGTAAATGGCGCAACATCGGAGGAAAGGCCGGCAAGCAGACTCCACACGTCGCCACACGTTGCTGGCTCTCTGTTTGTCCAAGTGCAAGTCCAAGATGTGGAACAGGGCGATGTCCGTATCGGCCTCGGCGTCTTGGCTATCCACTTCCATCATGTTCGACACGTCGGACGTGAAGAGGATCTTCGCGATGTGACACAGGAACACGAGCTTAAGCGCGTGCGACTCGAACACGCAGCCCGTGATGATGGGTGGCGGATTCGGACCCGCCTCGTGTGCCTTCGTATGAAAGACACTCGGTAGTGAGTTGACGAGCGGCACTAGCACGCCGAACGGATCAATGTCGAAGATGCTTGGACCGCTGGACGGATTCTCCATTAATATCGTGAGCAACGACACCCCGTAATTCACGATCTGTTCGCGATCCGACCAGATATTTGCGCGATTCGACAGACTCGCGCCCAGGAGAGCCGACAATCGCACGAGGCTCTCGAGACTATCGCCCTGTCGGGAGGTCATGGCGCCCAATAAAGGTTTGTCCATGTCGCGCAGCAGGAACTCGATCGCATGGATCGTGTAAGCCGTCGACTTCCAAGCTAACAAAGGCACCTTTGGATCACCGTCGAAACCTCCGAATCCCTTCAAGTACGTGGCTTGCGCGAAGAGCGTGGCGTACATGTGGATCATCGTCTCCATTTTTCGTGCGAGAAGCGGCCCGGATCGCGAATACTGAAATTCGAACGGCTCCCAAGCTTCCTCGACTTCTTGTCGAAGGACGGTCATAGGGTTGATGATCTTCTCGTCCTCCAGCCCGTCCTCGTCTGTCTCCATGATTCTGCCGAACTTCCTATTCGGTTTGCACTCCATCGTCAGCGCCATCACTTTCAACCACGTCTCGAAACTAATATCCGGCTGCGGTTCCGGGGTTGGTTGTAGCATCTTCAAGGGCGGCACAAGCAGGAGAACGGTATTGCTGAGACATTCGCACAGTGGACAGAGATACTCGTGATTCTCCGCATCGAAGCTCGCCGGTGCCCGCGTTCTGTAAGGCCGCCGGTTCTCCTTGACGAGGACGTTGTCGAAATAATCCTGCCAGCAGCGGGCATGCATCACGTGGCCGCATGTACTAGTGTACGGCGACGCGCCCAATTTGGCCGACAGGTACAACGGATCGAGTTCCTGAAGATCTGGTCGACGCTGACACAATACAGTGGACTGCTGAACAAACGCGGCCAATACCATTGCCGGATCAGCTGACGTCACTACCTGATCCTCCTGACACAATATGCACGTGTACGTCTTCTGCTCGGCTATCCTGGTAGTCTGACCGATTCCGAGGGCGACCGGTGTAATCTTCTCTTGAGAGGATGATTCTGTTAGATCCATAGCAGAGCCACGATCACTAGTTTTGCTATTGGCGTCCAGATTCGCCTCCTCGAACAGGGTAGCGTTCTTCTTCATGAAGTGCTTCTGCATAGCTGCCATCTGCGCCATGATCTTGGCGCGTTTCTGAGCTGCCATTTTTGTTCGCCACTCTTTGTCCGTTTCCCTAGTGCTACTGTCGGCATCGCTTGTTTGCTGCATCGGTTGTTGTTCGGTGTGCGAAGATGTTGGATTAGGTTCTGTAACAGACAAACTGGCCACCTTACGATACTTAGCCAAAACCCATGTGAGCAAGTCCTTGTGAGCCTCCATGCGTGGACTGGTGGATAGATCTTCTAGCAGCTTATAAATCTTCCATTTGACCGCTCGTTCGGAAAATGCGAGGAAAGGATAATAGCCAGATTCTTGTTCTTGCAGCGCGTAACCGATCAGATGAAGTATCTTGTGTACCTGCGGTTCAGAGAAGCTCCTGGCTATGAAATTAAGCGCGCGTTCCAGCACGGTTTGCATAATGTGAAGCATAACATCGCACTGCAGTAGATCTGCCACCATACTGAAGGACTCCGTCAATCTGGGCAGCTTCGGTGGTGGACAGCACTCCAGTTCTCCCTGAGCTTTCCTGCGTTTACGTTGAACTTCCTCGGATTTACTGTGCTCCTCCTTCGTGTAGTGATAGAAGAACACGTTGTACTCCGTGTACAAGTGCGACTTCAACTCGTATACGCCTTTCCCTGCCGATATCTGCGCTGGTTTTTTAAACTCCGCTACCTCGTGTATCACCCTCTCTACATCGGTTTGGACATGATGAATAACATCTTCCGGTAACGTTTTATTCAGCTCTGAATGCGAAAGTGGTTTTATGCACAACTGCTGGATGATCTCCTTCTTGAGACGATCGTCCGCAGTCACTTGACCGACACCGGGAACGTGTCGCTCGCCGATGATCGTAATGAGTAAACCCAGGAACTCCTCTACCAGATTGATTGTCTGCCGCATACTATCCTCTTCCGGATTCTTCAAGGCGTTCACCTCAAAATCCGGCTGCGCCCAGTTGAGAAGATTGAATTTGTTTAAGATGTGAATCAGGAATTCGTTACTTTCTATCAGAGACGCGCCGACTTGCAGCAAAATAATGTCCCGATCCAGCATTTCACTACGGCACTTGACGTTGTGATAAAAATACAATTGATTTAGCAAGGAGTAACCGTTTCGTCGCCACATTCCCGAGTGTACCTGTGAGATCATGGCCTGTGCCGTCAGTACGGGCTCGATAATTTGTTCGAGCGTTGGTTTCAGTATATTGATAAACTCGGACGATTGAAAGTGTAGATTGTATTTTTCCAAATGCAGGAATAGACCGGCCAGAAATCTCGAGAGTGGCAAATGAATAGAAACTGGTTCAGAGGATACGTCGTATTGCAGACACGTAGCGCTATGATCAGCCAATTCTCGCACCTGGCTTGGTTTATTTCTGAGCTGGTCGTACAGTTTGCCCAAGAGCGATATGAAAGATTTGATCAGGACTACTCTGTCGAGCCGCACCATTCCAAGGCCAGAGTGATGACTGGCGAAAGTTTGATATGCAGATTAAATGCGGATTCCCATTCTGGTTCGTACTCCATATGCTGACCGACTTGTCGAAGCACGGCGTCCATGCATTGCATGCTGCAGAAGAGCTCCAGCAATTTATCAAACCCCTGTAAAAAACTTGTTCTCAATTTATCCGTCCACTCGTCCGGCTTCGCACTCAGTAAATATCGCAAGTCATAGAGTATATATTGAGCTCGCTTGAAAGCCTGGTGCGGCATGTTTCTCTCAAACTCCAATTTCCCAGCGCTGTTAAGACGTTGAGAGCACTCGGAGATAAAGGTGTTTAGTAAGATAAGCAGGGCGTCGTGATGAGCGATGAGCAAATGTGCCAGAGTCGGCACCGTAAACAGTTGAACGGAGAGCGAAACGATGGAGAACGCATGATCGTGATCGTCCATGATAAAATCCTTCATGACAGAGCCATACTTGATGATGAATACAATGGCGAGCGCCTTCTTACTTTCGTACTCCATGAGCATTCCAGATATAAATAACCTATGCCAAGCCGTTCTGGCAGATTTCCATAGCTGCGAATCTCTCATAAGTATACCCTCGACGATCGAAGTTTCGGGTAGCTTCGTATTGAGCGCGATATTGCTGAACAGTACGCGAAAGCCCTCGCAATGGCTTATAAACTGTTGCAGCCAATTGAGCAGTCTCATGGCGAACGTCTGATGAGCCACTAGATGAGTGTGAAGGACCAGTACCTTAAGCGATTGATTACTGTGTCTGTATGTGAATCTTTTAACATCGTCACGCAGTTCGCTGCACTGTCCAAACATCGCACATTTCACCACAGCCCTACCTTCTCTATCAACGTTAGTTACGAACTCTACAGCCTCCTTGTGCGAGCATTTAATAACGCGTTGAAGCATATTTATCACTTGATCGAACGTATGATGCTCATCGTTGAAGAGTACGGTGCAAAAATTGTTGAAAAAGTCCAATAGATTCTCCTTCTCCGAGTAAAACTTTGGGTCTCTGATGCAGAGACTCCTGGGTAGCGAAACGATGTGAGGGTTTAGGGTCAACAATTCGTAACAATACTCCAGCACCGCTTCGAAAATCATCACCGCTCTCTCCGCTATATCACCGGGCAGCTTGTTGCCACGTGAATCCTTCGACTGGGTTCCTGCTAAGTGTATCTTGCAAAACGGCTCGCTTTTCCAAGCTTCTGTGTCGCCGCAATCGCAGCATCCGCCACCACTGGACGTGCCCATTTTATATTTGTGATTCCGATGAGCAGATTGTTTGAAACAGTCTACGCACAGAACGCAAGTTGAGTCCATACCGCATTGCCTGCAGCTATAGGTCGGTTCACCGATTTTAAACATTCTGCCACATATTGATGGCGGATTGTCCATCTTGCTAAGCTCCTTCAAAACTATCTGCGGATCGCCGCCGCACATGAATTCTTCCAGAGGCTTGAGCAACATTCTTTGCGCCGTCTCTTCGTCGATAATCCATTCCAAACAATTACCATTACGCTCCGGACTGTATATCTTTGGCACCCAAATTCGCCAATATTCTCTGAAATTGATGCTTGTCAGCATCCCTTTGTTCATCTTCTCTGTCCATACATCCACGCATGGTGCATTTGTATCTAGGAATACAGCTTGCATCGAAGCAGGATCCGCATCTTCAATGGCCTGAAGAGGCAGCTCATTATCTATATTTTCATTATTCATTTTGTCTCATTTAAACTGCATGTGTACTGAAAATATAAAAAAAGAACTATGACTCACAAAAATGACTCAGTCTCTGCTTTTTTACATACAAAGGAAAAAAGAAAAAAATTGAGATATCTACAACATTACTAAGAGGTAGAATATATATATTTCTATAAATACTAACCAATAGAGGATATACACATTAAATAAGATTGCAGATATAATCCAGACAATTGTACATTTTAAGAAGTGTCCTTATGCAGCCAACTCATCCAATGTCTTATTACTATAAAGCATTATTAGAATCTCTTGCAAGAATTTTTTTTGCATTCGAAATTCTCTACAGACTCCAGAAATTCACTTCCGAAAAGTTTTTATTGCAGTATCATGTGCCATCATTATTTTTAGTAGCTCGCAATCTGAAAGCAGTGATTCACAGAATAAATTCACATATGCCAGAAGACATTTAAATATGGTGGGTACATTTTTAAATCCCGTCACGAGAATAGCCGGAATTTTATCTATATACATATCGCCAGAATTTTATCTATACATATACACACAACGGTATACATGTACAATTATATATACACACGTATATATAAATACATAGTTGCGTTCGACATCCAAAATTAAAGGTACGGTAAAACAACAAATACACCCACGTCTCCCTCTGTATTGCGCTGTTAAGTATCCCTCCCGTGCGTAAACGTATGCGCGATATATCTCGTGCGAGAGGCCACAAGGACGAGATTTTGACAGGAGGGCGGGCGGGTTTTTGTCAATTAGCACGACAGGACTAATTTTATCCCGCAAACGATACTCACTGTTGTCAACGGGAACAGGTCAAGGTTAATAAAAGGAGCTCGCTCTCTCTCTCCCTCTCTCGAGTGCACACACACGATTCTCTCTTTGTCCCCTTGCGAAACCCACCGAGAATCCGAAAAATCCGTTCGCGAGCTGTCAGTCAGGATTCGCGAACTGTCCGTCCTGTAGACGCGCGACTCGCGCTTTCGCGCGACACTACTTTGCTCCGCGAGGCTAGAAGATTGACATTTAGCGGCGACACACGGGTGAACGATATCCTCGCACAGCTGCTGTAATAATGATGCATCAAAATGGCTTATGATGGCTCTCGAGAGCGAGCCTCTCCGCGAACCGAGATTACGTAAATTACAGAGAGCAAGTTGCGAATTGTAAAAATTGTATCTCGAACTCGAGTCCCCGCTTGGACTTGATGACGTTTCATCGACCAATCGGAGGGAAGAAAAGCGAAGATTCCTTCGTTTTGATTGGTCGTACGTTGTTACTGCGTCACTCCATCACGCTCGATTTCCGAACGCGACTTTTGACAGGAGAAGAATGCGAGTTGCCATCGAACGTTTCTGAATATTTATTCGAGCTTGCTGCTTTCATGACCGTTTCCAATTGAGTCTTGCGTTTTTCGACGTTGTCGTCCGATATAGCATTGTGCATTGTCGTAGAATTGTAATCATAATTCCTAATATGGCCAGCGAGAAAAAATCGACGAAAGCGTCGTCGAAGAAAGAGAAATCCGCTGAGGAGATACTGTCAGAGTTTCAAACGCTTCGAAATGAGCAGAGAATGTTGGCGAATAAATTATCTGAAATGGAAATGGAATTGAACGAGCACAAGTACGAGTCGACCTAACCTGTACACTTACGATTTTCCCTTTGGCAATCAAAAATTTAAACAAAAAAAAAAAAATTTTTTTTCTTCGTAAATTTTTAGTTTCGCAAAATTTAATCGAACCATCTTAAAATGGTTGATAGAACGTAATCTTTTTCTACAGATATATTGTTACCTATCTGACTAATATAATTAATGTTTCAGAATTGTTATTGATACATTAAAAAATGTCGATCCTAAAAGGAAATGCTATAGAATGATCGGTGGAGTTTTATGCGAACGTACAGTAGAAGATGTCATGCCTGCTCTGGTGACAAATAAAGAACAGGTAAAACTTGTCATTATTCGCATTACATTAATAAGTTTTTCTGATTTTTTTTTTTTGTAGAACAGGATATGGTTTTTATATGTATATAATAATGAATTTAAATGTGTTTTTAGTTGATGAAGGTGATAGATGCTTTAAATGAGCAGGTAACGAAGAAAGGAATTGAGATAAATGAATACAAGGAAAAGCACAATATCAGAATCAGAGGACAAGATGATTTGCAGCAACAAGAAGAGGATAATAACAATAAGGAAGCCAAGAGAAAGGCAATTGTTGTGAATCCAATTGAAGTTTAAGTGTAATAATCATTTGCGATATTTAGATATTAAGACACTTCACAATATATACATATACATATTATATATATATATATATATATATATATATATATATATATATATATATATATATATACAAAATCAAAGCAGCAGCAACTCATAATCAGTTGTACACATTTTAAATTATCTTTGCGTTTATTTATTACATCATTTTGATAAACGGCTTCTATGATACTTTATAAACTCATTCTACTAGGTATTTGTTCTGTTAATGTATTTGTAAAAAAAAAACTGCAATATTGTAACATCCTGCAAATACAAAAATTAGATATGTACAGTTCTATGTTGAAGTCTTAATTATTTTCATCTTTGGAACTATAAAAATAAAATAATTTAAGGTTTATTATATCTTTCTTTTCTTTATAAAGTCAATATCAATATATTTATTTTTATCTAAGCAAAAATTGCATACATAGGTATAAGCTTACAGAGGTATAAATAATGATCGAAAGCGAAATAGCTTAAAAAAAAGAAAAATAATTAAATTTAAATGACGTAAATTTTTTAACGTTTATTACAAAATCATATAATTTAAAAATGAATTGAATAGCTTTAAAATTGCACTTGGAAGCCTTGGTTTCGCCATTATTATTCATTCCTATAAAATTGTCCAATGAAAGACGATAAAGCTTCTCATAGGGAATTACGATAGCACGTGCTATCATGTCCGCAAAAGGGACTTTGGGTGCAATCGTTATGCACAAAGGCACAAATGTGAATTTATTTTCTGCCAGAGATACTCGGAAGTCTTTTGCTAAAAACAATTACAACGTTTCGCGAATCTCTTGTACGATGCGGCCCATCTCAGACTGATCTGAATTGAATTGACGCCAGTAAACCGCGGATCGCGGTTTACTTTATTCGTCCCCATTGGCGTATGCTCTGAAAATTCCGCTGGACATTGTACGATCAAAAATTTACGATGGCGGTGATGTTGAAGGTTAGTGGACAGTGAATAAACAAATTACTACTTGCAAAACATGGTAAATCCCATTTATCTAATCAAAATAAAATTTTAATCACGAAAATTCATGTTATTTTCTCACCCATAGGATTATGCAACGATAATCAATTACGTCGCAAAATGCGGCGTCGATATTAAAATTTATTTGACACATTAGAGCTCGAAAAATATACATTTTTATTCTTTATTATATCGTGTACATGTTGTGTTATCATAAATGATTAATCGAATATTGAATATTAAGTCGAATTACTTTTATATGATTATATTTTAATTTTTTTTCTTTACAAAATATCTCAATGATATACTTTTCATTTGTTGTTCTCGTGTTTTTTTCAATGTATTTAATTAAGAAATGATGTGTTTCATATTTTTAGGACAAAGTACAAGCTACATTTGAAGATAAATGGCCGCATATGCGGCCAATTATATTGAAATTGCTAAAACAAGAACCAGTAACACAAGCAGAATGGCAAGACTTATTTTATTCCGTTCAAGTATGCTTATGGGATGACAAAGGTCCTCCCAAATTACGTGATCACCTGAAAGAAAATATAATGGATTTTATACAGCAAGCTCAACAGGCAAGGGAAAGCAGAAAATAATTTATGCTAAAATTTTTTATATTAAAGATTATTTTATGTTCAAACTATACTTTTAGCACATTTGCTCTATTTGTCTTATTAATGTAAAATATTATATAATTTTACAGAGAGTTTTGGCGCATCAAGAAGAACAAGCATTATTGAAAGCATATATAGCTGAGTGGAGAAAATTTTTTACACAATGTAATTATTTACCAACACCATTTAGACAATTAGAAGCTTATCTTGCAGGAAAAACTAGCTCCAGTACACAAAAAAGGAATCAACCTGATGATATAGTTAGGAAGGTAAAGTACTTTATATTTGATATGTGATATAATTATATATTTATGTAATCTTGTTCTTTTATTATTATAGCTAATGTTGGATAGTTGGAACCAAAGTATATTCAATGACATAAAACAGAGACTACAAGATGCAGCCATGAGATTAGTCCGTGCTGAAAGAAATGGCGAGGCATTTGATTCTCAACTTGTTATCGGTGTCAGAGAATCTTATGGTAATTAATATAAAGTATATAATGTTTCATAAATTATATATAGTAATACAAATTTGTTCTTAAATAATATATAACATTTTAATGTTTCAGTAAACTTGTGTTCAAATCCAACGGATAAGCTTCAAATATATAGAGAAAATTTCGAGGCAGCATATATACAAGCCACGGAAGCATTTTATTGGGTAAAAGCGCCAGAACATTTATCTGATCATGGTGTAGAGAATTATATGCGTTACGCTGACTCGAAATTGAGAGAGGAGGAATTGCGAGCTCAAAAATACTTGGAGCCAAATACCGCGAGTATGCAACGATTAACGGACTGTTGTGTAAAAGTGTTAGTCGCAACCTTTAAACCATCCATACTTACAGAGTGTCCACGAATGATACAACATAATCAAACTGACAGTGAGTATGACATTGGTTGCAATATGCAATTTTGATTTGTAATTAAGTTTATATAATACATGTCAGTTTTCAAATTAATGAATCATTAATGATATTAATGATTGCAGAGCTTCGCCTTATGCTGAAATTAATGGACAGAGTGCCCGACGGCGTTAATCCTATGTTGAGAAATTTAGAAGAACATATCGCGAGCGCAGGTCTTACAGATATGATGGCAGCCGTAGACGTCATTACTCAAGATTCTGAAAAATATGTGGAAAGACTGTTAGATCTTTTCCATAGATTTTCCACGCTCGTTAAAGAGGCGTTCGATGATGATCCACGCTTTCTTACAGCACGAGATAAAGCTTATAAGCTCGTTGTCAATGACGCCACGGTATTTAAATTAGAATTGCCTACTCGACAGGGTTCTGGAATCAGTGGCGCATCTGTTTTAAATAATAGACCTATTACTAACAATAACGGATTAGCTGAATCGAAGTGTCCGGAACTACTCGCGAATTTCTGTGATATGCTTCTTAGAAAAACTCCTCTCAGTAAAAAACTAACTACCGATGAAATTGAAAGTAAATTGAAGGATGTGGTATGTATACAATAAGAGATACACAATTGTATTCGCATAATTTGGTAAATCAAATCTTTCCGATGAAATTTATGTTATATTGCATTCTGTTTTTAGCTATTAGTGTTAAAATATGTTCAAAACAAGGATGTGTTTATGCGTTATCATAAGGCGCATTTAACTAGACGATTAATATTAGATACGACCACGGATTCAGAAAAAGAAGAGAATATGGTAGATATGCTTCGCGAAGTCGGTATGCCCGCAGACTTTGTTAATAAATTAGCTCGTATGTTCCAAGATATTAAAGTATCTCAAGATCTGAATCAACAATTTAAGGAACAATGTCGAGCTGCTATTGCAGATAGCATAAATATTAAGGTAGCTATGTTTTGATGTATATATGTATTTGTTCTCATATTTTTTGTATATAAATAAAATATATATTAAAAAGATAGAACAGATGTATGAACCATATATTTATGCAGATAGTTTCAAAATATTTATATCGATTTTTCTACTTATAGATACTCAATGCAGGCGCATGGGCCAGAGGTAGTGAACGTGTTACCGTGAGTTTGCCACTTCAATTAGAAGATTATATTCCAGAGGTCGAAGAATTTTACAAAAAGAAGCATAGTGGAAGGAAATTGCAATGGCATCACCACATGTCGAACGGCACGGTACTTTGCATATCTATATTAAATAAAACTTTAATTTTATCCCAACAATATTTCAAGACGTTTTTATTATGCATATCTCATGATATGTAAATGTTTCAGATAACGTTTGCAAATAAAGTTGGCCGTTTCGATATAGATGTAACGACTTTTCAAATGGCAGTGTTGTTCGCCTGGAATCAACGACCCAACGAAAAGATTTCGTACGAAAATCTCCGATTGGCTACTGAGCTTCCAGATCCCGAACTTAGACGGACTCTATGGTCTTTGTGTGCCTTCCCAAAGTTAAAACGGCAACTTCTTTTGGTGGAGCCGCATGCCGCTACTCCGAAAGATTTTGCAAACGATACAAGATTTTGGGTTAATCAAGAATTCGCTATTATGTTCGTATCTATTTTTTTATGTTATCAAAAAGTATTATATAATGTGTGTGTGCTATATTATATATTAATTATATTTTAATTTAGTCCGTTTTTATAAAATATATTACATTTCATTGATTATATTTTATGGTAGAATTCAGTATTTGTTTATGGTAATAATGTAGATTTATTTTTAAAGTGATAAATTTATTATGTGTGTAATATAATTATTTATGATGTTAGAAAAAATGGCAAGATGCAAAAGCGGGGGAAAATAAACTTGATAGGACGTCTTCAATTATCAACAGAACGTAGCAGGGAAGAGGATAATCAATCTATTGTACAACTCAGAATATTACGAGTACAGGTACATCATATATCTTTTTCAAATAATAAATAGCATGATACAGTATATAAAAAAATATCGATTGATATTTATTCAATTTAGATAGAGATTATAATATGAATAATTTATATTTTTTTATATGTATGACTTTGCAGGAAGCTATCATCAAGATTTTAAAAATGCGCAAGAAGATTACTAACGCGCAATTGCAGACCGAACTAGTAGATATATTGAAAAATATGTTTTTACCGAGTAAAAAAATGATAAAGGAACAGATTGAATGGCTCATTGAACATAAGTACATTCGTAGGCACGATGATGACATCAATACATTTGTGTATATGGCATAACACGGGATTATATATACAAACAAGATTGTGCGCCAGCTATGGTTAATATTATATTTTTATAAAAAAATTTAGTTTGTATGTGCGAAGATATACGTTCGAATATATCATGCGCATGTTTGAATATATTATGTATTTAATTTGTTTTCTTGTAACACAATACGAAAAGGAGAAAAGAGCGATATTTGACTAAATCTTAAAGTAAGACGTCGATAAAACAAGTCATATTGCCTGCATTTGCCGATTATTATATATATTAATAACATGAAATGTGTAACAAAACTGAAGAAAATGTCGCAATAATAATGAGAAAGATGTACAATCTTATCATGATAAAACTAGCATTTATTTTTTTTGGAGCATTGATCTGTATTCATCTAATTCAGAAAGATTTAATGGAAATTAAAAAGAAAAATTATCGGTAACATGCGCTATCATTATTTTTAATATCTATGTTATTAAAAAATTTTTTTTAAATATCTTTATATCTTTTTTTTTTAATTTCTCCTCATATTGCTAATTAAACTTGTTTTTAAAAAAGAATTTTTATTAAAGTACTAATATAAAAATAATTTGGCATTAAAATGATCGATTAGATCCTTACACAAATCTAGAAAACAGTGGATATATATGTACATTGCATAAAATTCAATCATAAATGATACAAATTCGCATATACTTGAATAAATATGCATACTATATAATATTTTACATATATTATATTAAAAGCCCGACGAATAATTATCCAATGGCCTATAATTACGATGATTTGAATCGTCGAAATAATCGTCAGAATAGTTATACTTAAGCAAATAATAACGACGGTTATAATATGTATATAAAGCTTTTATATATAACTTCAATATGAGTGAAAAACGAATGTAATAATATAAAATTTCAATTAAACGACGGAATATTTCATAACTATACAATACGTTCTTATCAAATCTCATTGAATTTCTATTATTTACCTATATTAAAATGCAAGAAGTAATACTTATACATATATTGTTTTTTTTGGTCATTCTGCCTTATTGGATTCACTTATAAATAGCACTCAAATTATATATTTACAGACCGTTCTTTATATTTAAAATTAAATTATATTTATAATTTTATCTCATCGGTCTTGTAAGATCTTACAATTTTATTTGACCAATGAACATATATAATATCTCAAGACCTTAAATCTAAATAATCCTAAATAAATGAGTCAATTGACATGGAAAGCATAAACAATAAGCAGCAAAATATTCGACCAATCAGAGCAAATAAAGTAAAAAAATCTTTTTTCTAGTTATTTAATTAATTTTAATTATGAAAAAAAGGATCGCGAATGATCCCAATCTAACAGGGTCCTTTTTATCGATCACGTGATTGCAAAATCACGCTACCACTTGCGTACTCTTCTTCTTTGGTACTACATGTCCATCAAACTTTGAATGGGACTATTCTTCGGAAGCCCAAGCAGCCATATATCAGAAAAGATGAAGAACTTTGGAACTTTCTCTTCCTTTTTCGCCTTGGACGTCAAAAAACGGTATATAGGCATGTGCTTTTATATATGAATAAAAAAAAAGAAAACCTATTTGGAATTTTCGCATTTATAAACTATAGTTTATATAAACATATATTTCTCTCTCTCTCTCTCTCTCTCTCTCTCTCTCTCTCTCTCTCTCGCGTGTTTTATTATTACGGACATTAAAGTTGATGAAGTATAAGTTGATAAAGTCCTAATTTAAATCTTAAATATTTGATCTTAGTCAGTCAATGACCGATTGAATATAGAAGCCATATATTAAATATAGAAGAAAAAGAAAAAATATATATATATATATATATATATATATGTGTGTGTGTGTGTATATATATATATATATATATATATGTATGCATGTATGTGTGTATGTGTATGTATATAAATTATATATATATCTTGTACTCATTCTTACAATTAGCAGTGCAGTTTTTTTCTGTATTTTCTATAAACATTTTTTTTTATAATATAAAATAACAAGAAATTTTTAAATACAAATATAATTATACTAAATTATTTTATTTAAGAGAGAGAGAGAGAGAGAGAGAGAGAGAGAGAGAGAGAGAGAGAGAGAGAACATTTTTTGATTATTTTAAAAACAAGTTTAATAAATAACTTCTTATCATTAAATAAACGTTTTTTCTATTAATAGAAGATTAATTAATAGACTAAACTTCTGTACATATGCTTTGTTTTGTTTTGCATGTTGAATTTTTTTCACTTTTTCGTGGTTTAGAAATTTTCTGTTGGTTGCTATTTTTCTTTGTTTTATATGATGTTAGTAAGATTTAACTTTGTGTTATTTTTTTTAGGTGACTATAATTGAGTGTTTGGTTTATTCGCTCCCCCCTTCATTTATGGTGTAATAATCAAATGGTTTTATTGATTTTTTATCCTGTTTTTATTTGGTAAATTTATTGTTTTATATATTCTGATTTTTTCATCATATACTTTTTATTGATTTTACTTTAGTATTGTTGTTTTATATATACATATATAATTACTATATTATTCATGTTTTTATAAGTAAAAAAAAAACAGATTCAGTGAGATTTGATAAAATCATATTGTATACAATTATGAAAAATTCATTGAGATTTGAGATTTTATAGCATTCTTTTACTCTTATTGAAGTTGTATAAAAGCTTTATACATATAATTGTTGTTTGCTTATAATTATATTCTGATCATTATTTTGATGATGTGAACTATCATAACTACATCCCAGATGTAGAAATCATAAATATATTTCTGTCATCGCTAAAACCAAATTTGGTTTTGCAAAGTTAGTACTTTTGTATTTATTCAAGTATATGCAAATTTTATGATTCATGATTTAAATTTATGCAATAAATTCTACGTGACAACAATCACATACATTAGATTATATAAATACATATATCAGACTTTTAACGTAAAATAATTTGTATTTATATTTTCTTTTTTGATACAAATCATTTGTACATTATTTCCTCCGGTATATAATAATTATTCACATATTATTTATTTGGATGGTCAATTATTCGGTAAAGAAAGATTGAAATTAAATGACACAGGAAAATGGTTTTACACCATTTTTCATCATTTTCACCGGGAGGATACAAACAATACTACACACTATATAAAAATAAGTATGTTACTATAAAGTATTTATAAATATTCAACAATTATTTTTAGGTCACAGATCTTGCAATAACAGGAATTATATGTTTCACACACGTATATATACATATACACAATCACCACTGCCGCTGTGTAAATTAGTATAATGCTGATATGATTACATACGGTATCAATGTATCTATCCTATTTTTTTTCGTTTTACTAACTTAATTCTTAAAGAGTAAATTGATAACAATAGGTGATTTCGTAAACTTCATTGACAGGAGATCATAGATATAGATCATAGATTTAGGATAGTATGTAATGTTCAAGCTAATGTGAGCTAGCTTTTTCTACAGAAAACACATAGAAGAACCACACGATATTTTTAGAACAATACATTCGTATACACACACATATCACATACATATTAATGTCATATACTTCCATAGATTTTTTTCGCATGCACGCAAGATTCAATTAAAAATTCACAATACAAAATAATAATCTAAAAGGTATTTTCAAAAAATAGAGAGAGAAAGAGAGAGGAAAAATATAAGAATAAATAAATAACAAAATAGAGCTGTTGAACAATTCTAATTTTTTGATTCTGTCGATCAATTCTAACATTAGTATCTTTTATAGATTTACAACAATATTGTTTTACATTATGTACTGTTTAAGAATAGAAATAACACCGACAATGAGAGGTAGAATTGCAAAATCTTTGAATATATCTTTAACAATTTCCTTCTTTGATTCATTGATTTTTAATTTTATCACATCGGACGTAATTTTTCACGATATGTACGATATAATATCAATTATTAATATGATTAAGGAAATAATAATATAGAAATATAGGCCAGTCTTGGAATTTCTTTAACTCATCATATATATTGTAAGAAACAAGAAATGTAAGCAATTCACAAATTTTGTAAATTTACAAACACAATTAAACTCTTTCTTGATAAGTATATAACAATTGTAATCAGTGCAAAATTTTGTAGGAACATTAAACACTACAATAATATAAAAAATGCAAGAAAAAGTAATTTTTAATTGATTAAAAATATAAATTTTTGGATATTTATAAATCATTGCTACCCAAGGGAAGCTTAGTAAATACTATATATATATTTATATACCAGATCTCATCGTTGTCTGCAAACTGTAAATTTTTTTACAATGCATCACTTATCATTTGGATACTAATCACACAATCAAATGTGTGAATTATAACTTTGATATAATAATATTTTTTAATTTAAAATTGCTCACTAGATGCGCTCTTTTTTCAGTTCGAGTCTAGTTACTCTGTGGATTATAAGACTCTATCAATGTATTATAAATAAAAAAAGGAGAAAATTAGTGTTCCGGACATCGCGTATGTTGAATGCGAGGCGCATTCTTCGCCGAACTTGCACTCTCGCAAACATGCACGACTATGCCTGGCTGTCCCGATCCTCCTGGATGTATCTCGTGAGTTCCGCCTGCAATATTAATAATTTTATGTATAGTGGGAAAAAATTTTTAGATTTAGATAATCATATACATCACTTCTATATGGAGTGGATTTTCCATTATATTTTATCACAAAATTCACTACAAATTTTATCATCTTTGATAATAAGCATAAATTATTATGCTGCATGTTAAAATTATTATGAACGATGCTGGATTGAAAATATTATGTTGCATTAAAAATTTATATAAAATATTTTATATATTTATCACTTTTTTGCATTTATTTATTCTATTTAAAATACTTAAAGAATCATAAGTTTTTAATATAGTTTTTAACATTATTGAAATTTTACTATATATTTTAGTCAAATTAATGAAACATTTATATCTTATTATGATAGATATTCATATTTTTTTGTTATGGCAAAGATTAATCAAACTATTGTAAAATTTTTCCAATATGATATTTTCCCACAATTACCATAAATTTCAAGTTAAATTCTAAGAGAAAAATTCTCTCTGTGTAGTTTTATGTAAAATCGATATAAGTTCGAGATAATAAGGGATAATAAATACCTGTGGATAAATTGGCTATAGCAGCTAATAGATCGTGATTAACGAGCGGCTCTCCTTCCTCGCGTGGTTCCCAACCAACCGGTGGAGAAGCAGGAGGAGATATGAGAAATTGTTTAGTAAGAGCTGGTGGTTGAAGATGCTGATCCTCCATATCTAGAAATTTACATGTTTGATTAAATATTACTTTTCCTTGTATCTTTTGCATCATTGTAATGTTTAAAGTTCTTATGAAAGAAAATTCTGCACTGATTACAAACCTATAGGCGTTACTGGTTGTGCAAAATAACAATTAATATCAGTTTCTCCAAAATGTGTTTGATGCAAATGCAATCTTGCATTTGCTGCAGCATTGGGAGAATTGTAATTTACCCTCATTCTTCTGAAGGATCTAAAATATTGAAACGTAGCATCTTCTCCAAATTGTTTGAAAAGATTTTCTATGGCTGGCTGTGTGTAAGAATAGAATAATATCAGAATGTAACACATGCTTGTTATTAATTAATATCTCATACACAAAACTTTTATTACCTTTAGATCATCATTTTTAAAAACTCGAGGATCGACATTAGTAACAATTACAGAAGTTGGTAAATCTTCATCATGAACCAACTCATCAATTGATCTAATATCTGTATCGTGACTTTCTCTTTCGAATTCGAGTTCTAATTGTTCGTAATTTGGATGTAAATTTGGTAAGCCATCCACTTCATTAATTATTATATTTTCAGAGTCTTCAGGCTCCTCCTCCTCTATCATACTTGTATTACTGCATTTTTCTTCCATTTTTTTCCTACTGAATTCAAAAGTAGATAAGAATTGTGAATAAAAATTTAAAAAGTCTAATAAAATTTAAAGGTTTTGAAATATAATATATTTAATATACATTCATTGAAACATATAAAAAATTATAGGCAATATTTTTTCACACTTATATAAATGTAATGATGAAAATGATGAAAACCATATTGTTTATGTGTCTAAATCCAAACTAAACATTAATTGAAATATATTTAGCAAAAGAGAAGAGTATATGCTCTTTGAAACATGTTTTGAGATATACCTTCGTATTGACAAATAAAAGAGCAGTGTATTTAGATTCGCTTTATTGACCATGCAAGTGTCATCAAGTTCATTGTCATTAGAGCACAAAGTGAAGAAAATTGAACTGTGTATTTACGTCTTATGTTTATTGCAGGTGGCATTAGTATAAGAGTAACAGTCTGAGGCTTTCTTACCTTCGAATCGATCTCTAAATCGAAGAGGAGACCAAAACACCGCGACGAATATTTTCGAAACGCTGCTTCGTCACAGGTATATCTCGTTACGCACGTAACATCTACTCCATCTTAATGAATTTAATAGCGTAGCTCGCCGATGTCAACATTCTCGGAGATACGTTCACTTCTATCTCGCTTTCGACGACGTTCGCTATTTCATCGTTGTTATTATAACGTAACCGCACGTCATCGTTGGCTTTATAACAATAGGAACAACCTCGCGCGTCCTGTCCGTATCGCGATCCGATCGAATGCCATCATCGGGAAACAGATTAGGCTAGGTGCAGCGCGAATATAGGAGTGGTGGAACTATCGAAAACTATTTGGGCACAAGAGTATATCCGATATATCATATATATGTATCAGAACAGAAAAAAATGATCAAGTTGCGATTTTGGAGCAACTTGAATAAATTCTTTAATTACACAATTAAAAGTTTTGATAATTATTCAAAAATCGAGACATATGATATATTTTAAAATTAATGTTATATACGTATAGATATTTTATGATATACTTGTATGTGTTTAGATACTCTAAATATACTCGAATATTTTATTTAATAACAATATTTTCACACATTTTTTATATTTATATTTTTAATATATAAGTTATATAAATATATACGAATAAATTAGTTTTCTCTTTTTTATACATATGGATAATATATATATATATATATATATATATATATATATATATATATATATATATGGAAAAATATCTTTAAATACGATTTTTAATATCTTTTAATGCATAATTTTATGTGCCTTTTATTATTTATGTGATAGAATATAATATATTAGAATACATATAGATCTTAATAATATATTGCATACAAAAATGTTTTACATAAATTATATAACAATTAACAAAATTTTTTATTGTGTATATATAATTTTTAAGAGTTGATATAAAATACAGTATAACTTGTAAATTTTTAATTTTGATAGACAATGCTGGTCATTATTTATATAACTGCTGGATATATCATAAATAATATAATTAACACAGATTTTTATAATTTAGCAATAACTAATACTTTTACATTAGTTTAACATGTTTTTGAAATACATTTTTGTATATATATCTCTCTTTATCATCTGAATTGAACATTTCTGTTATATTTTTAAACCTACAGCTTATAAAAAAATATATAGAAAAAGATTGCACATCTCTATTATAATTTATATTGATAATATGCATTATATGCATGTTAATTTCAAAAATTCTTTCTCATTATTGTACTTATTAAAAATATAATTTTACTAAAACATTGACTAGTTCACATAGCGATTAAAATAATGTTTGTGACAATTTTTCATTTTTAGCAAGAAGTCACTTGTACATACAATAATATACTTGATTATATTGCAACGATGAAAGCAAATCATATATAGATTGAATCATATATTATTTTATACTGATATGAATATAAAAATGCTTGATTTGAAAATTTTAGACATATGCAAAATGAAGTAGATATATTATTAATACAATTTTTGGTAGTAGTTTATCTACTTATTGCATCACAAGATATACACTCAATTAAGTATATATTTGCATAATAAATAAATATCTTGTACTTCTAGTTTTATGTAATAATTAAATAATTAATGCTTTGTTTCATAATATTCATAATTTGTACTTGTGTGTGACACATATATAAGTCATCTAACTTATATATTGTGTCCACACGTCTATTGCAATTAATATCACTGTGACTAAAAAAAGCATTTGCAAATCAAATTATTACAAGATTCTTATTGTAAAATGCAACCGCTTTCATTCTTTGGCTCCTTACTACTTTGATGAATTGCTTCCTCTTTAACAGGTGGCAGAGTCTGTTCTTTTTCTGTTTTTGCTGCTCCTATACCAGCTAATACTTTGTATGTTCCCAAGTTCCAAATGGAGTTTGGTGATGGCATTTGGAAATCGATTGGGCTGACTAAGCCATAAGTAGCTTTTGTGTCCAAAGGTGGAACTTCTCCCGGTACTGTCTGATGATATCTGGTATTATTTAAATTTTTGAGTTAATAAATTTTATTTAAATATATTTAGGAGATATAACATTATAATAATAATATACATTATGAATAAAGACATTACATTAAACCGTTCTCTCGGTTACATTTATCGAGAGTGAGTTTTACTATGGGTGCTAGGCGCTTAAATACAGCATGTTGGTCTGGTTTAACTCGAGGCGCAGGTCCATGTGTTTTCCCATATTCTTGACATAATGCTTTCGCTTTCTGTAAACATGAATCGCTTTCTTGCATCGCTCGTATCGCTTCACCGCATTTATCCATTGCTAATAAATTTTCACCACAATAGTTATAAGCCTAGAAACAAATTTATGAAAGAAAATATTACTTTTTGATTAATAATAATAAATAACAAATCTTTTTGTTTATATTTAGAATGATTAAATAATCAAATTTTATGAATTTTCAAGCTTACATAAGACTGATAAAATGCTGCTTTTAACTCCAAGTATTTTATCCATTGGGCAGATATTTCTGATTTGAATGGACGAAGAGTGTTAGCAGCATCCAAAAACAATTTGCTAGTCTCATTGGCTAAAGCTGTTATCAAGCTAGAATTGTGCTTGAGTTCTACCGCTCTAGCCACTGTCACTATAAAAAGAATGAAAAAGATGATTAAGTATAATTAAGTAAGTTTATTAAAGTTAACACAACTATACAAATAATTTCCCTAATAACCTTCTTGTGCTTCTGCTGTACATTGATTAACATATGCATTTAATACACGGGGATCCAAGTCACTTGCCAATGGAGGTGGATTAGCCAATTGTGGCAAAAACTCAGTCTGTACAAAAGTAAATATTCCAGCAGCTCGTCTTAACATGCTGTGTACTTCTTTAGCTTCATTCATTGTAATGCTAAAATGTAATAGATTACTTTTTTTATTTTTGCACAATTTAATGCTATATATGTGTTATATAATATTAATTACTTAAAGATCACTTTTAATTAATTTATACTCACTCGTCTTTTGCTGCAATCATAGCTGCATGTTTCATAAACCAAAGGCCTATATTGACACTCATGTTAGCTGCTTCATAAACAGAATCAGCACTAGAGCTTTAATAAAAAAAATTATAATTTTTAATTAAAGATAATCTCAGAATCATTTAGAAATCATATTACTTCATTAAATATTTTTTATAATCATAATTACAATGTGCTTCCACCAAGTAATGTTTGAGTCCACTTAAATACCAAAACATTTCTGAGTTTGCTGGGATTGGGTCTGCCAACATGTTGTGCTTCTTCCTCGGATGGTTTAACTTCCCATAAAAAACCATACAACAAACTCAGATAACTAAGAAATGCAGGTTCTATTGTATCACTGGTATTATTTGCATTTTTAATCAAATCTAAAAGTCTGGCTCTTGACAGCTTTAAATCACTGAAAACATGAATTTCAATTTAAAAAAATATATTTTTTTAAAGAAAATTTCTTTTGATAAAAAAATTTGAATAATTATAATATTAAAAAAATATAAAGTTCTAATATTTCATTTACTATAATATAGGCATCAGAATAATATGTATGTTCTAATAATTATATATGTATATTCTTCGGAAATAATAGTTATCAGAGAGCACAGCAGTCGCTCGCAATCTGCGTAATACACGAGAGATTTATTTCTAAAATCTCCAACCTGCAGAGCTTCTTGGTAGCATCTGTAGAATTCGAGACTTTCAACTCGAATTTTTGATTCGTTGTCGCTTTTAGCACATTGCGATGAAACCAGTGAGCCATCGTGTCGCACGAATTTTACGTATCTAATCGTATCGGTTGTGATTTCGATCCGGTTTTGGATCTGTCACTTTTGACAGATAAGATAGACGCTGTGCGTCAATGGAAAGTATACGTACTATATATATGTACACACATGTAATACGCAACTTTCTCTGGATACGATTTCTCCGAGATATATGCAGTTATTTCGCTCGAAAAAGATGGTACAACAACATGGCCTAGCCAATCAGATTCATCAACCATATCACTTTCATTCACAAACTACACTTTCCTCTCTCTCCTCCTTTACCTAGAATGGCATCTATATTCCTCCAGTTGTTGCCAGTCCTTCATGTATCTATACAATTCATAATCGGATCGTACCATTTGTCATTGTAGTGTAAACACGTGCTATTATTCGGAGTAGATGCATAACGTATAATTATTTTTCCAGAAATTAACGAGAGATCAAGACTATACGACGTGATCCTAAGTGATTGAATAAAAATACGAGACTAGAAAGGAAAATATAATTTATAAGAGATATATTAAGAGATTCACACAAACAAGTTGGTTAACATTCGTTGCATTTATATTATTGTTCCTTCACGCATTCCCGACTCACTGAATACTGATCTCTCACTCGGATATCTTCGAAAGCTATATATACAAAGCGTAGGCTGTGATATACAAATCGAGAATTTCCAAAACATATTCTATTAAGAACGTTTAAAATATTTGCTGCACTGCTGAATAAAACGAGAACGATTATGTGATACAAAAAATTTGTTTATTATGACAAAATATTTTAATGCTGTCGCAAATATACTTCGACGAACACGATAAGAAAGATGATAAATGACTACTTATTAATTATATATCTGTGATTCTTCATTCATTCCACATAAAGATATATATTTAAAATAAATATATAAAATACAAAAGAGCAAGAAATTAAAATGAAGACATCCTGGTTTCCTCGTCTAATTGCTCATCATCCATATATTATTTTGATGGTGATTTTTGCATTTTCGTCAATATGTCTAATTATTCCTCTTACAACTAAAAAGCTTCCAGATTTTTCAGATCCTCAAATGGTATGTACAAATATAAACCTGTTTAAGTCTGAAAAAGATATATTAATTAATATATTTAAAATGTAAAACATTTATATCAGGGCTTTGAGGCAAGAGGTTCAGTTTTAGCACAAAGGCTCACAGCTTGGCATAATTTAATAGAGGAAGCTACAAAAACAAGAGGAGAACTTACTGGTAATCCTTTGGAATATCATCAATACCTACGTCAACTAAATCAACAGGTGTGTATGGTAAAAGTATTCCACACACATATCCTCTATTTTAAATTATATATTTATCCACTAAAATTAGTACTATTTATAAATATATTTAATCAATTTATAAATATGAAAAATATTATAGGAATGAAAATTAATTAACAATATATTACATTATACACTTTACTTGATTTTGCAGTCTAGTATGCATCAACAAAACCATAGTTTGTCTACTTCGGGTATTCTGAAAATAAAGTCAAAAGATAAAAATAAACAAAAAGAACAAAAACATCCAAAGCTATTAAATATCACAAGCTTGAAAGAAACAAGCGATGAGAATAAAGATAAATGGGGCGAATTAAGAGAATTGAAGGATGAGGATGATATGGATATTATGGATGACAAGAATCGCAATCATTTTGATAATGATTTTTTTTGCAATTTACCAACATCTTCATACGCTCGTGTTGTAATTGCTGTGGATTCTGAAGAGAAAAATTTGTGGTCTATGGAAGGCATATTAGCTCAATGTCATATTGATGATGTCCTTCGTGCAAATGCTCATTTTTCATCTCTTTGTCAGACAGAAGAGCATAATAGTCATAAATGTTGCAGAAGTTGGTCACCAGCCAACTATGTAGCTCTCTTGTCGAACCGCTCTTCTTGTCTTGGAGTAACAGAAAATGATCTGAGTAGAGTGAAAACGCTTTTGCAACAATGTGCTTCTTATTATCATAATCATAAATTATTGCCTAACTGTGCAGAAGATTTCGATTGCCAAAAAGATGTGCCAACTGAATGTTACATGAGAAATGCAGCCTATCATTTGCTACACTATCTTTTGGATGTTAATTTTATTCCGGTAGAGTATAAGTCTTGCTTCATATAACTAATACAAATAATTATATATTTATCTATAATTATAATATTCTAATATTTTATATTGAATTGTTGCAGAAGATAGAACCGAAAAATAAACAAAATTTGACATTGCAGTCTGCCATGTTATTTCTTCCGATTGCGGCAAGCTCTGCAGCTATAGATTTTTATAAAGCGATAGAGAACGATGATTTAATGTACGGAAACTTTCGTGTTCAAGGCATGCAACTTGGCCTAAAAAGTACATTATTTGACAGACTATTAATATCTGATGCAAGTTTAGTACTTGCTGGTTTTCTCTTTGTTACTCTTTGCATTTTGGCTTACACTGGCTCTATAGTGTTGACCATAACTACAATTTTCGCAGTGATTTTTAGTCTTGGTATTTCATACGCAGTGTACACTTTGGTCTTACGTATTGAGTTCTTTCCGTTTATGAATATTATGGCTATTGTTGTTGCTGTAGGTCAGTATTAAAATATTATATACATAATATATACGTTATATTTTTCATAAATTTTATATTTTATTTTATATATCATATTTTAATATTAAAAATATATATATTATATATATCATATTGTAATATTAATATATATATATATATATATATATATATATTAATATTGAAAATATTAAATATATCATTTTTATAATTAACAATACATATTTATCTATAAATGTTATAAATTCATTGATAAGATAAAATTATTACAGGCATTGGAGCAGATGATGCATTCATATATTGCAAAGTATGGGAATCTGAAAAGCAGCAGAAGCTTTCAAATGGTGGATTAGTACATTTAGTACAAACAACAATGAAACATGCTGTTCCATCTATGTTTGTAACATCTCTTACTACTGCAGTAGCTTTCTTTGCATCAATTATTAGCAATGTTACTTCTATAAATTGTTTCAGGTACTAATTTTACTTGTACATACATAGCATTTTTTTCCCTATATATTTAATACATTCTTAAGCTTTGTGTATATTGCATTCTAATAATTTATGTATTATAGTTTATTTGCAGGCATAACAGTTATTGTTAACTTCTTCTTGATGATCACATGGTTACCAGCATGTGTGGTTGTGTCAGAGCATTGTAAATTCGCTACTTTATCGCCTCTCAATTTTATTACCAGAAAGATTATTCGTCCCCTACAATCCTTAGGAGACAAAGTAACAAAAGGATTTACGGCCTTTCTTACTGGAATAGTAATTAGTTTACGATGGTTGTTGTTGCTGAGTTTGGGAACTATCGCAATAATATGCTGTATTATCGTTTTCCATCATCCGGGTCTACAAGTGCCGGATTATATTGATTTTCAGTTGTTCCATAATACACATCCATTTGAGCGATATGATTTAAAATATTCGCAAAAATTTTGGTTTGAACGATATGAAATGGTATCTATATACTTATATATTGTTTATATGAAATGTGTCTATACATATAATATATATTTTATTATATATATTTTATTGTTACAGATTGGTAGTGGTGGTGACGTTGATGATGACGTTGGTGGTGACGGTGGTGGTGAAGTTTTACCATTGAGATTTGTATGGGGTATAAAACCGACCGACAATGGCGATTATCTTAATCCTCGCGAAAAAGGAACACTAGACTATGATACATCATTCGATATATCGAATCCAAAGTCACAAAAATGGCTCGACCGATTTTGCAAAGATTTACGAAGTCAACCGTTCTATCGTAGTACTTCGGGACCTATGTTACTAAATTGTTTCATCGAACCGTTATATGAGTGGATGAAAAGACGTTGTAAAAGTCCCATTAAACCATATGTCGACGAAAACTTGCCATGCTGCGAAAGTAACATGTTTCCATATAAACCCAGTATCCTGCAACAGTGCGCGGCTGAATTGAGTATGAAGATATATAACACGCCTCATAAGTGGATTCAGAACAATCCAGTTTTTGCAGGTCCAAAATTTTTCAATGACCCATTTTTTTCTTCGAACGATACACTTTCAGTTAAAGTAACGCCTAAGATTAAAGCGCTTATTGTTGAATATGATAGTACTTACGCGTATACTCTCTCGTTTGCGAAGATGGATAAATTTTTTCATCAGGCAAGTAATACTATTTATCAATGACAATTATCTATGTGTAGATTATAATACAGATATAAAAGAGCATGAATTCTTGAAGCAAATTAATGTTGAAATTTGATTTTAGGTTGAAAGTTGGATGCAAGATCAATTACGAAGTGCGCCCAGAGGCATGAGAGGTGGATGGTTCATTAGTAGACTTGAATTTTACGAATTGCAGCGCACTTTGTATGAAGGCACCATATGGACAATGGGAGTATCGTTAGCTTTGGCTCTAATAGTATTAGTGATGGTCACTTTAAACCCCCTTGTCAGTCTATACGCCATTGTAACTGTTGGTGCTACTATAATAGTAACTGTCGCTATACTTATTCTTTTTGGTTGGAAACTTGATGTCTTGGAAAGTGTTGCAATATCCACTGCTATAGGTAAAGAATGATAAAAATAACTTGATAAAGTCATTTATGATATAAAGTATTTCTGAAGATTTATTGAATACATATAAATGCATTATATTATAGGACTTGCTGTAGACTTTAGTTTGCATTACGCTGTAAGTTATAGAACATGTATTTTTGAGAAAAAAATAGATAGGGTAAGAGCAGCGCTGGAGAAAATGGGTGGTCCAACTCTTATGGCAGCAATCACAAGCGGAGCTGCTGGTGCTTTAATGTTACCTTCTCATGTATTGGCATATATACAAATTGGTATTTTTTTGCTGCTCGTGATGAGCATAAGTTGGATATATGCCACGTTGTTCTTATGCTCGATGTTAGCGATAATAGGACCATCTTCTCGTTTTGCTCAGTTTGAATATTCCAGGTGATAAGTTTGTATATATATTACTTAATTCATTGTATATATTACTTAATTTATTGTATATATATTACTTATCTATATATTTCATAAATATATTTCTGGATTTTAGTAATGAGATGTGGTATATGGTACAGCATATATAAATTATAATTAATGGTTTTTTAAATTACAGATTAAAAATGTTATTCCTCTGTTTTCCTAAATATGAGGATGATAGCGTAGTTGAAGCCGACAAGGATAACACTCGAGCGAGAAAAGCTTATAAAGGACGTGGTATGCTGTCGGAATCAACTCTAAGTACATCCAGCTCTGTATGCCAATTTCATTGCAGTGAACTGGAAACTCTTGCGGCAAGACCTCCGTCTCCATCACCACCGTCTCCACTATCGACGTTACTTCGTTGAAATAATAATTGTTATTTAAATTTTAAATTGTGCCATATTCTCTAGGATTATAAATTTTCATCTTAACGAATCTCGTGTACTTTTTCAGATTGTGTGTAAAACAACTATATGTATATGTTATCTTGTATGTAGGTGTGATATGATTAATGTGACTGTTGACTGTGTTCAAATAACTTTAAGATCATTATTCAAATATTAGTCTATCATTCATCTACATATATGTGCAATGCACATAGATGCATGTATGTCAACACACATACGTATATACATATATACAATTTTATAATATACAGCTTCCTACATATTGATAATATAAATATACGTACATAGATATTATTTATGACTATGAAATTAAATATTAACTTAAACTAATAAGTATATTATTATCTCTTTTATATTTTATAAGTTTTCGTTTCCAATTTGTAAAGGAATGTCGTATTGTATATCGATCTAAATCTCATATATGTCAAAAATATTGTGTGTGATTTTGAATATCGATGATATATTCGACGATACTTTCTTTTATAAAATATACTTATAAACATCAGTATTATATGATAATTTACAATGCCAATGTAAAGATATTATTTTCCATTTTAAAAGTATTTGTCAATTATTTATCATATAATTTATATTAGAATAGTAATTTCTACTATTCTAATATAAAATATAAATTATTATTATAAATAATAAAAGTATATTTGTATGTACATATATTTTATACTTTTTTTTAATACTATTTTATTTTATTATAAAGAATTTGATATAGCTTTTTTTATACACAGAGTAGTAGAAATTATTTTTATCTTAGGACTTCTTGAATGAATATAAGTTACGCACAATTACATATTGCGATAAATGTATATTTCTAAACTGTATAAAGCGATATATTAGAACATAAAATTGTATATGATATTAATAATATATATATATATATATTTTTTTTTTAAATTAACAGATAATAGAAATGCATTAAAAGAAGTATAAATATGTTGTATGTGTAAAATTAAATTCAAAATTAGACGTAATAAAATTTAATCCTCGATCTATATTATACCCAGATAGCCACAATAATTATTCTGACATCAAAATGCATCATATTTTGATGGCAAATGATGCATTTTGACATCAAAATGATGTCATAATAATTACTGTGGCTATCTGGGTATATACTTATCAAATAATCAAATGATTAAATTTTGTGTGTACGTGTGTGTGTGTGTTAAGACAATGATTGCTATAATTTTATAATAGCACATAATAATCCTTGTTAAAACAACTTTCATATATATGACATTCAATTTATATATATATATATATATATATATATATATATATATTATATTTTTTTTCCGCTTTTTTTTGTTATGTCTAAGTTACGTTAAAAAATCGATTTGTCTTATAAAACTTAATTTATTATTGATTAATCAAAAGGAGCAAAGATTTCTTGTTTCAAATACTTTGGTAGATTTTCGAATGCAACTTTAGAGAGAAATAATTTTATATATATATATATATGAAGTGCTGGGTATATATTGCTATGGAAACAGATGTACAAAACAAAACATGTGGCATGTGGCATTCTATTTCTATGATTATTAATTTTCAAATTTATATCATATACATTTATCTATATACATCTGTTTTTGGCATGGGATAAAAACGTGATAAAATGTCAATTTAAGATATTGTGAAACTGCCAATTATAGAATTGGCAAAATATTGTAAACACATGAAAAGATAAAAGATCCTATGTTAATCAATTTCAGATATATGTTTAATGTATATTGATATATAATATAGATATTATAACACAAACAAAAAGCTAAGATATGTAATTTGATAATGAAATAAGTTAACGATTTTTTTTTACTGAAGAAGTGACAATAACTTGCAGTCATGCATGGTTTAAGGTAAAAAATTAAAAAAAAATTTTATTCGAATATGTTCTAACGATTTTTATCTTATAAAAAGGGATGGAGAGATTAATATATTCAAATTTATTATTTCAAAAATGTAAATTATTAAATCTTATATAAAATTCTTTAATACTTGCAAGTTGAATTAATAAGAATAATTCTGTTATTTTTGCTTATTGCACTTTATTTTTATTTTTAATGTATTTATTTATTTTTAGAGCAGATCATAAATCTCTCGGAGGACTCGGTACGAGTCGCTGGTTGGAAGCACTTTGGGAACCAAGTGCAGGTTTATTTGCTTTGCCAGGTGGACTTGATATGTTAGATATAAGTGGCGATGGAGATGCTAGGCTCATTTGTGCTGATTTAGGACCAGTAGGAGATGACTCGACAAAGGTATATGCATTTACATAATAAAAGTTACTTATATATGTATATAATTAATTTATATTATTTAAATACTGTGGAGATTGCAAATGAATGAGTGATAAAGTAGTTGTATTTTCTTGTAAATGTGAATTATAGTATTTTTATATTTATAATTTGAACATAATCTCAAATCTTGAGAATAAAATGTAATTAAATAATGTTGAATTAATAAATATTTAAATTTTATCTTTCTCTTTTGAATTTTTTTATAATTTACTACTTTTTATAATTTCTAATATATTGTTTATTTGTATCTAGATACGAGTATATAAAGGAGGTGATCAAGTAACTGAACATAACATGATGGATCCACCTTGTGGTGTAGTTGGTTTTTATACAGAAAATGGAGAACATCGCTCGTCTGTAATAGCTGTAGGAGCTGGGGCCAGTGTATATATTTTCAAAAATATGAGACCCTTTTTCAAGTATTGTCTGCCACACATTGACGCTCATCCAAAAGAACGAGAGGTATATATACACTAGCAATAATATCCTTTTCTAGTTAATATAAATATAAGTTAATATAAGTATAAGTTAATTTATGTATTTTTGTCGTGAATAGTATCTCAATAATTTGATGTAGATTTGGCATAAATGCGGATTGGATGAGGAAATAAATGTGCTGACACTTGTGGATGATTTGGAACTATTGCTAAAAGAACTCGGTGCATCATATCTTTCACCTCGCACATTAAAATTTCTGTCTCTGGACAATAATTTACGATTGAGCTTTGTCGAGCAGTATAGAAGGCTACCGCTTGTCAAAGTCAATGCTCTAACAACAATTGCAATCATCCGGAGGGATTCATGGAATGATCCCGCCAGTAGCTGTTTAATATTAGGAACTGAGGTTGGCGAAGTTCTCATTTTGGATCCTAGGTATTTTTCTTGTATGATTAAAAGAGATCGTTCGATATTTTATAAATATTATTTATTGGTATGGATATTATTTGTCACAGAGCTTTTTCAATCATGGATAAACATCAGTTAGAGTGGCCACCAGTGTCATTTGCCAGTTGTGGTTTATGGACTGGTGATGGTCGCATAATGGTCATCGGAAGGGATGGAAAAATAGGAGCAATTAGAAGAGGAAGTCCTGTAAAACTTTGGGAACCATTGCCAGCACCAGCAGTAGCTATTTCCATTCTTACTTCTGAAGGTGCTGCAGTAGCTGTTATGGATGGTACTTTAGTAGGATTTTCAAAAAGAGTAAGTTGAATACATATCTTTTCCAGATAAAAGTTTATGTATATATTATGTATATATTTGATTGACAATGGCATATACTATTTCAAAAATATTACATTATAATGTATATGTTAGATTTTTTCATAAATATAAAAATTTCTTACAGGGAATTAAATTATGGTATATCAGTATTCCTGGCATGATATTAGATTTAGTGAGTTTACCAGTACCGCAAAGTGGACTATCGTTATTAGCTGTAAGCACAGCAGGCTATGGAGTACGCATTTATGATGGAAAACATCATGTGGATACAGTGAAAATTATGGAACCTGTATCTGCTCTTAAGGTACCTTTTACATAAAAATGTATTTTGTTAAAAAAATATTGATATAAATTATAAAAATATTGATATAAATATTGATATAAATATTGATATAATTTACATATATATACCATATGTGTATGTATTCTTAATATATATAAATATAAGTTAATTTTATTTTTACAAATAGTATGGACGAATGGGACAAGAGGAACGAACAATAGCTATGATTACTGTCGGCGGAGGTTTATGTATGAAGATATTAAAACGCACTGCTGATTTCAATGTGAACAATTCAATATCAAATTCGTCATCATGCAATACATCCAAGTTCTCTATACCAAAAAAAACACGATTATTTGTCGATCAAACGATAAGAGAGAGAGCCGAAGCGAAGAAAATTCATAACACCTTTCAGCAAGGCTTTCTTCGTTTACGTTTAACAACTGCTAAACGAGCATCCGAAAATTTAAGCGAAACTCAAGTAACAGGACCAAATCCTATTACATTGGAAGCAAATGTCCTCGGTTTGGGTCCCAATTACATGATTCGAATTATAGTAACAAATATCTCTGAAGGTTTATCATATACAGAATTGTATCTTCTCTGTAGACCCGAGGATACTGATGTGAATCCTCGTGTGATAGATTTGCCTTTGTTACCCAGTGCTATACCTATACCTATAACTGTTAGCGCGAACTTAAAAGGCCAAATATCGGGAAAGATTAAGATATTACTATGCAAAAAATCAAATCCAAAACCTTTAGCTGTAACGACTGTAATTTTGCCAGCTGCTGAAGAAGATTTTGAAATCTAAAGAATACAGTTATATAAATTTTAAATAAAAATTGTCATGTGTTATCACTTTTTAGAATATATATACATATATATGGAAAATTTGTCTTTAATATTTTTGCATATCTATGTATAATTAAAAAATTTTTAAATACCAATAAAAAATAAATTATTTTTTCTTACTCTTTTATTTTATTCTATTTTTTATAATATTAATTGTATGTATTTCTTATTGTTTTTTTCTAATTTTTATATATTTGAATTTTTATCAATAAAATTTTTCATTGAATAGTTTACATTAAAGATATATTAGTAATCATTAATTAGCATTTAATTAATCAATCAGAATATTCTTATCCTTTTCATTTTTAATGATAATCAAATGATAATACGAATGCATTCTATAATTTATATTTGCCGCCAAATGGCGCAGCGATCGATTAAAATTTTTATACACTAGACTAGGTCTACACTAGCATATGAATATTGTGTATGTGTGACGTGACAGTTTATAAAATATGGCGGACTCCGCAGGAAATTGGTGTCTCATTGAGAGTGATCCTGGTGTTTTTACAGAATTAATTAAAGAATTTGGTAAGTACATTTCCAATTATTTCAGATTATATTGTAGTAAAATTCATCTACTCTATAGTAAAATCTCTGTGCATTATTTTTATGATAGCATAATTATAAACTGCGCTTATCGAGGTTATACACTCATGAATAAAGAATTTTGATACTTTTTGTGATAAATTTCGGAATTTCTTTTTATTTTATGAATGAGTCATAAAATCAATTCACATTAGTGTATATACATATATGTATATATATATAAATTTTTTCAGGTGTCAAAGGAGCACAAGTGGAAGAATTATGGAGTTTGGATGATGATCAAATTTTTGAAGATTTGAAGTAAATTCATTTTGCATAATATAAATATTAAAATTATTATGTTAAAAGATAGTCTCTTAAAAGATAATCATATACATGAAAGATTAAACATCATTAATATGACTATATTAACATATAGTAACTATACTTTTTACAGCTTTTATTCTTATTTATACTTTATTTTTCTTTATGGTGAAATTGTATATTTATTTTAACTGTACAAAATATGAAAAATATTCAATGGATAAAAACAACAACATGTTAATCATTTTATATTAATAATTTTAAAGAGATTAACACTTGTTATCTTTATATCTTGGATTACTTTTATATAATACCACTTTTTTTTATACATATGTAAACACACATTTATTCCTTTATATTATACTATTTTAATTATATTTATACCATATTTTTGTATTATATTAAATGATATAAATAATTTTTCTGATAGGCCCATACATGGCTTAATATTTTTATTTAAATGGGTACAAGATGATGAATTATCAGGAAATATTGTACGTGATCATAGATTGGACAAAATATTTTTTGCAAAACAAGTATGTATGCAATTATTATTTTACGATTATTTGATTGAACCTATATATGAGATAATTTTATTGGTTTATGTGTATTTATTTTTTCATAATAGAAATTGGATTTTTATATTTTATTTTTAATATAATGATATTTATTTAGGTAATAAACAATGCCTGTGCAACACAAGCTATATTGAGTGTTTTATTAAATTGTAAACACTCAGACATATCTTTAGGACCAAATTTAGAGGAATTTAAAAATTTCTGTCAAAGTTTTGATGCAAATATGCGTGGACTTGCACTCAGTAATTCTGATGTTATAAGAGAAGTGCATAATTCTTTTTCCAGGTATGTATTCTTTTAACTAACTGTTCAACAATTATTTATTAATGTCATGAATAGTTCTGAATTGTAAAAAATTTTAGACAAACCTTATTCGAATATGACTCCAAGCAAGCATCTAAAGACGACGATGTATTTCATTTTGTGAGTTACGTTCCAATTGATGGCCATTTGTATGAATTGGATGGATTAAAAGAAGGTCCAATTGATTTAGGCCCATGTTCAATGGGAGACCAATGGGTACAAGCTGCAAAGCCTATAATTCAAAAACGAATAAACAAGTAAGTCTCTTATCAAATATAACTCAATAACTATATACAAATAAATGCATGTAAATTGCTTACCAGCTGTATATTATAAATATACAAATATTATTATGAATACAGGTATAATGAAGGCGAAATTCATTTTAATTTGATGGCTATAGTAACAGACAGAAAAACTTTATATGAAAGGCAAAAAGCCAATGTCTGCGATCCTGCAGAACTAGAACGTTTGCAATCACTAATTGAGGAAGAAATAAGAAAGTCGAAAAGATACCAAATAGAGAATATTAGAAGGAAACATAATTATTTACCACTAATTATGGAACTCTTGAAGATTCTTGCTAAAGAAGGCAAGCTTGTACATCTGTATCAAAAGGCAAAGGATAAAGCACTCGAAAAGGAGTCAAAGAAAAATAAGGTGTAAAATTATTTAAAGAAAAAAATTAAACTTTGAAAATTAATTTTATTATAGCAGAGGAAAATCAGTCACTGTATCAATCTTTTTTTTAAATAAATAGTTAATTGCATAATAATTTCCTTTCCATTTTTATTTTACATTGTCCAACAATTTAAAGTACATTGAAAATAAATTTTATATGTATTTCATTGTATGTATCTGAGAAGTATTAAAAATATACACTGTAGGATATTAGAATTATTAGTATTAAAATCGACTTTCTAATTATCAGAATTAGTCGTAAGTGTATCATTACTATCTTCTGCATTTAATAAATAAATCTTTCCTTTTTTATGTACTATTCTAGGTAGAAATTTATCTGTTAAAGCCTCTTTAATTTCGGGGATTTTAATATGATATAGGTATTCCACAATATCTGCAAATGCAAAGTTTTTCATATGAAAACTATATATATATATATATATATATTTAAAATATACTTTAAATATCATTTAATGTTACCTGCAAAATTTTCCATGTCGTTTATATTACATTCTTGAACTAGGTAAAAAAAGGTTTTACAAAGAAATACTGCAGTTGTTCCATCCAAATGTTTTGCGACATTGGGCCATACAATTTCGCGAGTATTTGATATTCCTTTTTCATATATACTGCAATAATGAATTGTACATACTTATACATAGCAATCTAATCATATATGTTAAAATCGATTTGTATACTTCTTATAATAAATATAATTAAGTTCATGTTACTAACTATTCAATTAGCTGTATTTTAATATCGTTTAAGTAGACAGGATTTGGACTGAATAATTGCAAATGCAATTGATGTTGCCAAAATGATTTCAAAATATTTTCATCAATATTTAATTGCTCTTCCATTTTCTGCCACACTGACTTTGGAATTATAGCATTTTTTAATTCTCTTATATCCTCACTTAATGTTACATTAAGTAAAGTTTTTATAAACTTTTTGATTAATGACAATGTCCATATAATGTTTGACGCTGTAAATTAAATAAATTTGAAAATACACAGATGCAAACATTTAAATTTAGGGAAAAAGGGAAACTATATAAATATAATATTTAATGATATATCACAAAATACATACGTTCTTTTTCTGAATCAGTTTCAATCTTTTTGAGATACTGATATCGTTTAATAATTGATCGTCTTGTTCGCTTTAGTAACTTTGCTAATTCAATATATTTAGTATTACGCTTATTAAATTCTTCATTCCGTATATACATTAAAATTTTGTTATCTTCTTCTAATGTATATCTGAAACATAAACATTATTACAGAATGTATGTAAGAAATCCAAGTTTAATTAAAAATTTTATTATTTATTTATGCACTATCATATTATCATTCATTTATATATACATACCTAGCATAAGTAATTTTTTTACAATATATTACTTTAAATCTGGCATAAACACTATGTAAAGTCCGCCAAGGTAATCCATTTGCTAAAAATTGTACAAATTTCTGTCTTTCTTTCACACTGCTTATATAATATTTTTCATTATGTCTCCATTTAAGGAATGGTGTAACCATCTTTGTGTTCCAATCATGAAGCTAAAAAATATATATAAATATATTTTATACATGATATAACAAAAATTATACATGATATAATAAAATGATAAAATTTATTACACACTATACATGATACATCTAAAATATAACAAATAATCATATACTGTATATACCTGGCAAAATGTTTCCCAATTTTTTGTAATAACTTTATCTTCCGCAGGTGTATATAGACCTTTTCGAAGTGGTCCATATCTCTCAAATAATTTTTTCTCTTGCCTTGTTGGTGCATGAGATCCAGTATTTTCAATTTTATGTTGTGGTGGTACTTTATGTATCAGTTTTATACACAGCGAACATAATTTCTATATGAAAAAAATAATTAAAATTTTTATTCAAACACGATATAATAAATAAATATACCTATGTATAATAGTCAAAATATATCAATTACATTTATGAAAGGTAATGGTAACTCTTCCTCTTCTTCCACGTTTTTCAATTCTTTTAAAAGATGTTTCTCTTTTTTATTCAACTTACATGTTGATTTTTTAAAAGGATTATTCACATTACTAATTTGTTTGTCATGTAGATATTTAGATTTTTCTTGTTTTATCGATTGTGATTTTGAATTCACAAGTGATGTGTCAACATTTTTTTCTTCACAATCACTAATAAAAAGAGGATCTGTGACTGGATCTTTATTTGTTAGACTGTCATCAGTTTCCTGTAGTACAAAATTAGTATCCATTAAAGATAAAATATCTGATACCTTAGTATCCTCAAAATGTACTGCAGAATTTAAATCATGTAATAAATTGCTTACTTCAAATTCGTTAAAATTGTCCATATTATTTAATTCGGATTTAAATATATTGTAATCACTACTAGTGCTAATTGTTTGTCTTCTTTGTGAATTTATTTGAATTGCTTTCGCAGATTGTAAGTCATTTTCCTGTTCTTTAAATATTGGATTCTCGAATATATTTTCTAGTAAAAATATATTCTTACCATTTTGAGAATTATTCATATTCTCATCTTTATAATCTGTATCGTTCAAATTTTGTAGGTTATCTGCCTTGTCAGGACTATTAAATACATCATTGGGACTTCTTATTTCATTTTCATATTTATTTATATTCATCCCGATATTTATTGTCTATTATACTTTTTCTTTAATTTTATATTCGTTTTTAGGTTGATATGTCAGATGTGATTACAATTTTATATATTTTTAAATATATTTTGTTAATTTATTTTTATTTCATTTCATATAAATAAATATATTATTTAACTTGTTTCAATCATATACTTTCCTTTTTCTGCAACTTTAATAAAAAGAAAAGTTAAAAAAATGGAGTGAGCTTTTAAAGAAACAGAAACGACGTCACAATGCGTGAAAGAAATTTTAAGATAGCGTTCGAAAATCTCTTCTACAAAGTGCAGAATTCAACTGACCAATCAGAGACCCCTTTGAGATCTCTTTGTTCTGATTGGTCAATCGAACGCTTCACTCTAGGGGTGCGTTCCGTTATGCACTGCAAGTACTGGCACTATGACGTCATGCAAGTGTACTGTTGACAGCGTTCCTTTTTAATTTTGTGCACTTTGAAGCTACTGCAAAATAGTAAAACGGAACGCACTACAGTACGCTTTCAGCAGACTTTTAACTAACCTTTTTCGCTAATAATCATCGAGTGAAAAATTGGTGAAATGGATAATACCATTATTGCATTAATTACATATAATTTAATCGAGAATATATATGATTCGAGTGAGTCATCAAGTGAAAGCGATTTGGAAATGGAATTAATAAATGAAATGAGACGACAAATTAAAATACCTAGAATAAAATGTAAAAATTACGTTAAAAATATTGTATCATTATATTCAGATATGGAATTTAAAAGTTAGTTCCATCGTACACATGGAGGTAGCCATCTTGATTACTGCGAGTGCTTTACCTCGCCGGTTGCAGTAATCGCAACAGGAAATAACGTCAAAATTAATGACGTCATATACTCATGATAGTACTTTCGCAGTGCACTGCTATCTATATCGGAACGCTATTGGTAGTACTGTCAGTACTTGTAGTGCATAACGGAACGCACCCTAGGTGGACACATTTTCGAACACACTCTAGTGCTGCCCTCTTGTGGATTTATTGTACGGAATCAACGTTCCCGCGTTCGTCGCCGGTACGTGAAAGTGTGAGTATTTGAGTATTATAATTAGTTGATTGAGAATTAATTAATTAATCTATACGTAGTCAATTATTATACAAATCCTATCGCGTCGCGCGTATCAACATCGCAATCGCAATCGCAGGCGCGAGATTGATCTCGTCGGTCGAGAATCTCGCTCAAACATATGGGTCCTTCGACGTGTGGCGTGACGTCACAGCTCGAACCGCCAAAAGTTCACGCGAGCAAGTCTACTGAGGATGGGTCGAATTACCGGGTGCGCTTTCGACGCGAAAATCTCGGAGTTTTTCGGCGTTGTCGATCGTATTCCAAGTGGGCGATTGCGCGTTTCTGGTTGTACTTCAGCATCATCGTGTCGAAGTAGTCTTCCGCGACGAGCGAAGCTCGTAATTATCGCAAAAATCGTGGATCGACGACAACAAAGTATCGCCGCCATATTGCTATTATTTATTTCAATATCTTCGTTGCCCTCGTAAAATTTTGTCGTGATCGTCAAGTCGGAAAATACTTGGCAAAAAGGCAGAAGTGCATACTAATCGTACATTATGGAAATACGCGACGATCGCGAGTGTATATAGTGTTCGGATAACAATCCTTGTTTCGCGAAGTGTCGGGTCCTCGGAATCTTCGCTCCAGAAGATGATTCCTGGAATCGGGACGCCGCTGCTCGAGCCGGGCGATTCTCGGTATTTGTGCCATTACGAATTTTATCTATCCGAGTTTCGACGCAACTTTTTGGTACTCAATTGTTCGGAGATATCGCACGTCGATAGCTCGGAAATCGCGACGATTACGTTCTCCGAAATTCGACCGAAAATTTTTACTCTGAACAAAGTTACAAGTACTTGCACAGCATTTCCGAAATACGATATGCTCGACAATAAATAATTCGGCTCGGGCCAAACAGGCTCGAAGGTAATGAGATTTTATGTTTATTTTAATATTTCACGATTGAAATTTAATAATTCGAAAGAATTTCTTCAGAATAATTAAGTAATTAAAATATAAAAATTTAATTTAATTTATTATAATGAATATATCATAATTGTAATCGATATGATTATTTCAGATGCAGATATGGATGTATTTTTTACAAATTTGGTGTTACAGCATCGAAGAATTTGGGCCAATCAAGATCAATTTGAAGGTAAAGAGATTTGATGTTTATTTTAATATTTCACACGGTTGACATTTAATAATTTGAAAGAATCTCCTCAGAATATTTAAATAATTATATAAAAAATTTAATCTAATTTATTATAATAAATATACCATAATTTTCATTGATTATTTGTTGTTTCAGATACACGTGTAATTGTATTTCTCATGAATTTGGCATTGCAGCATTGAAGGGTTGAAGACCAAGGATCTACTCCAAGGTAAAGTTGATATATTTATTTTAATATTATGTAGTTAATATTTAATAACTTGAAAGAATCTTCTCAGAATAATTAAATAATTATTACAATATGAATTTAATTCAATTTATTATAATAAATATACCATAACTTTAATTCGTTATTTATTGTTTCAGATGCATGATATGGTTGTATTTTTCACGAATTTGGCGTTGCAGAATCAAAGGATTTGGGCCCATCAAGATCAATTTGAAGGTAAAGAGATTTGATGTTTATTTTAATATTTCACAGTTGTTTAATAACTTGAAAGAATCTTCAGTATAATTAAACAATTATTATAATGTAAATTTTATTTTATTTATTATAATGAATATATCATAATTTTAATTGACATGATTATTTGTTGCTTCAATTGCAGATGTGATTATACCTATTTCTGATGACTTTGGCGTTGCAGTACCGAAGGATTCGGTTCGGGTCAAGCAGGATCGACTCCAAGGTAAAGAGTTGATATGTTTATTTTAATATTTCACAGTTGAAATTTAATGATTTGAAAGAATCTCGTCAGTATAATTGAATACTTATTATAATATAATTTATTTAATTTATATTAAATATATATTTTATTTATATTTTATTTATTTTTTAATTTATTATAATGAATATACCATAATTTTAATTGATTATTTGTTGCTTCAATTGCAGATGTGGATATATTTCTCACAAATTTGGCATTGCAACACTGAAGGATTTGGGCCAAGCAGGATTGACTCCAAGGTATAGAGTTGATATGTTTATTTTAATATCTTATGGTTGAAATTTAATAATTTGAAAAAAATCTCCTTAGTATAATTAAATACTTACTATAATATATATGTTTAATTTAATTTATTATAATGAATATACCATAATTGTAATCGATATGATTATTTCAGATGCAGATGTGGATGTATTTTTCACGAATTTGGCGTTACAGCATTAAAGGATTTGGGCCAAGCAGAATCGATTCGAAAGTAAAGAGATTTGATGTTTATTTTAATATTTCACACGGTTGACATTTAATAATTTGAAAGAATCTCCTCAGAATATTTAAATAATTATATAAAAAATTTAATCTAATTTATTATAATAAATATACCATAATTTTCATTGATTATTTGTTGTTTCAGATGCACATGTAATTGCATTTCTCATGAATTTGGCGTTGCAGCATTGAAGGGTTGAAGACCAAGGATCTACTCCAAGGTAAAGTTGATATATTTATTTTAATATTATGTAGTTAATATTTAATAACTTGAAAGAATCTTCTCAGAATAATTAAATAATTATTACAATATAAATTAATTCAATTTATTATAATAAATATACCATAACATTAATTCGTTATTTATTGTTTCAGATGTATGATATGGTTGTATTTTTCACGAATTTGGCGTTGCAGCATCGAAGGATTTGGGCTAATCAAGATACAATTGAAGGTAAAGAGATTTGATATTTATTTTAATATTTCACATTTGTTTAATTAACTTGAAAGAATCTCTTCAGTATAATTAAACAATTATTATAATGTAAATTCTATTTTATTTATTATAATGAATACATTATAATTTTAATTGACATGATTATTTGTTGCTTCAATTGCAGATGTGATTATATTTCTGATGACTTTGGCGTTGCAGCACCGAAGGATTCGGTTCGGATCAAGTAGGATCGACTCCAAGGTAAAGAGTTGATATGTTTATTTTAATATTTCACAGTTGAAATTTAATGATTTGAAAGAATCTCGTCAGTATAATTGAATACTTATTATAATATAATTTATTTAATTTATATTATATATATATTATTCATATTTTATTTATTTTTTAATTTATTATAATGAATGTACCATAATTTTAATTGATTATTTGTTGCTTTAGTTGCAGATGTGGATATATTTCTCACGAATTTGGCGTTGCAGCATTGAAGGATTTGGGCCAAGCAGAATCGACTCGAAAGTAAAGAGATTTTATATTTATTTTAATATTTTATGGTTAAAATTTAAAAATTCGAAACAATCTCAGTACAATTAAATAATTATAATATAAAAATTTAATTTATTATAATGAATATACCATAATTTTAATTGATTGTTATTTTAAATGCAGATGTGGTATTTCTCACGATTTGGCGTTGCAGCACCGAAGGATTCGGTTCGGGCCAAACAGGATCGATTCGAAGGTAAAGAGATTTTATATTTATTTTAATATTTCACGGTTGAAATTTAATAATTTAAAAGAATGTACTCAGAATATTTAAATACTTATAATATAAATTTAATTTAATTTATTATAATGAAGATAAGGTTTTATTATATAAAATTCTTTTTATTTTAATAATGAATATACATCACAAGAGAGTAAGTTTATAGATTTTATTTTAATTAAAAATTTTATATTATTTTTCTATTTATAATTAATTTTTTGTTATTTTGTACAATAATTTTTACACTATTTTAATAAATAACGTTATTGTAAAGGAAAATTATATTTTTAATTGTTAAATATACTTATTTAATTTATTAAATCTAATTTATATTATTTTTTTGTTGCAGGTCCGAGATGACTGATCCTGAATCAGCGATATTGGTGAGTCAAATTTAAGGTACTAAATCGCTATCTTTGAAATCAATGCGATCTCTTTTCTTATATATATATTTGCGTGGCAATCATCAAGATAATATAAATTAAAGTTACGAAAATATCTCTATAGAAATTTATATATTAGTATATTAAAAAACGATTTTTTTCATATATTATAATCCTTTTAATTTCAATAATTATAATATGTGATATAATAAAAGGCCAACTTAACGAGCTTATATGCTAATAATTGAAAAATTTTTATTTATTAATTTACGTCATACTATACAAAAGTTACGATAAACGTTTCGACTGTACGACAGTCTTTCTCAATATCCTAATAATATGTTAAAAAATTAATTTAGTCATTTCGACATCATAAATAAATACAACAATTATAAGATTATATGACGAACGCAGTACAAAATTCATGATTGTTGGCATGAGTTAGAGCGTCAGATGCTGTTATATTATGTAACGACACTGTGAACAAATTAATATATCCGCTCAAATATTACAATACATTTAGATTTTTAATAAATAGTATTAACTTACTTTTTTGTCAACGAACATAACACCTTTGTTAAAAAATTATTTCTTTTTACTTAACATAATCACAATGTGTACTTTTTTAAAAACAAATCGATATCTGTATCTTACAATGTCGGCGCGCTGTATATATACCCAATTTTTAAGATGACGTAGACAATTTTTTTAGAATATCATAATAAGAACCGTCAAGACGCTCGGTGTCCTTTTTAGGTTGATACTGTTGTTTTCTTCTTTAATATATATCATTTCTGATATCAACCTTTTATAATAATTCTTTTCATAATCTAGGATTTTTGTGTCGTTCCAATTGAAATTGTGTGTAAATTTTACAATATGATCAGAAACCACCGAGTGCCTTGCTGAATCTAATCTAATATTATTTTTATGTTCATTTACTCTTGTACCTAATTGTCTTTTCGTCTGTCCTACATATGTAGCATCACAATTATTACACGAAATCTTATATATGACCCCCGAATTATTTTGGAGCTTATCTCTGTCTTTTTGCGTTTTTATGACTCTGTTTAATTTCTTTAGACATCTGTATCCTACTGTTATATTTGATTTCTTTAATTCTGATGCTACTAGTTCCGAGATTCTTTCAATATAAGGTATCGCTATGAATTTTTTATTATTGTCATTATTTATGATTTCGTTATTTATATCTTGAGTCATTTCTTTGTTTAATCTATTAACAATAAGGAACTTCAGTCTATTATTGATTTCTGAGAAAATGAGATCAAGAGGATAACTATTGCTCAATAAAATCTCTATGATTAATGTTAAATTTTTACTATGAAAACGGGGATGTGATAATAATATTGACCGGTCTACTAAATTATATATTACACTTTTTTTGTGGCATATAGGATGATTTGAATGATATGAGAGTGTTCTACCCGAAAATGTTTTTTTCTGAAACCAATCTATGTATATTATGTTATTTATAATTTTGAGTAAGATATCTAAAAACTTATGCTACGGTTATCCTCTCTTTCTATTGTGAATTTTAATCTATCGTGACAATCATTAAATTTTTCTACTAGATATGTGACTTGATCTTCCGGCAAGCCGGCCTTTTATTATATCACATATTTTAATTGTATACGAGCCGAAGTTTAATTTATAAAATATATATATTCAATAATTATATTAAAATAATTTCGTTAAAACTTTTCATGGAAAGTAAGTTGTGAAACGGATCTAATTTTTTTTAATGCTTAATTGGCTAGAATCTTTTAAAGAGATAGACTGAAGTTCGCGGTTATATTCCATGATAAATATATAAAGAATAAAAACGATATACCTATATATATACTAATCTTTACACGAAATTACGAAAATATCGTTCAAAATATTCTGAAATGAGTATTATGATTATTGTGTAGTATTTATTATCAAAAACAATATTATGAGTAGAATAAAATTACGCGATTAGGTTAGATTAGATAATAAAAAGTAAAAAGAGACCGGCGAGATCGGAGAGAAAGAGATAGATTCGTTCGGCGATGCAAGATGAAGATAGCAGCAACAGTGCGTGTAAAATCGAGACTCGAGACATCGCAATATTGTTCAGTGTTCTCGCGCTACTCGACAAATACTTAACCTAAATACGCGAGTGTATACGCGGTATTCGGGGAACGTTTCTTGTTTCTTCGTCGTCGAATATTCGGTGAAATAGACAATGAAATATACAAGGAAATATATAGTGAAGTGTAGTGGCCAATTCTGGCATATCGGCGACTCCTGAGTGCGCCGCGGGGGAAGTCGTCGTTCAATAAAGTCTTCCGACTTATAAGGGCTTCGAAAAAAGCGGCGACGCGAAAATGGAGCATCGGTTTTATTCGCGCGCGAATAAGCTCCCGCGATTTCGCGTTTTATCGAAACGAAAATATAATAATTAAAACCCGAGCGTCGCCGCACGTGTCGCAAACGAGAAAAAGTAACGCGAGTGCAAAGTGTATTTTGTGATATTCCTATGGATTAGGCGTTGCAGCACCGAAGGATACGGTTCGGGCCAAGCCAAATCGACTCAAAGGTAAAAAAGATATTAGGCCTTTTATATAATTTTATCATAGAGAATGTCGTTAACCGATTGGATGTTTTGTCGCTTCTCCTACGAAGAGGCTCTTGATTCTTACGGATGTAAACATAAATAATACTTGAAAGACAATATGTATAATATACAAATAAAGTCTAATAATAAAACATCACCAGTTAACGCCTTTTTTTTGACAAAATTATATAAAATGTTTATTTGAATATTTCACGGTTAAAATTTAATAAATTAAAAAAATCTCATCAGAATAATTTAAACATTATTATAATATAAATTAATTTATTATAATGAATATAAGTTTTTATATATTAAATTCTTTTTATTTTAATAATGAATAATCAATATACATTACAAAAGAATGAGTTTATATAGATTTTTTAATTTGAAATATATTATTTATATACTTATAATTAACTTTTTTTGTAATTTTATAGAATAATTTTTAAACTATTTTTATACATTTAAAAATTAAATTTTTATTGCAAAAGAGATTATATGTATATTTTTAATTGTTAAATATACTTGTTTAACTTATTAACTCTAATCGACGATATTATTTTTATTGCAGATCCAAATACGAGATGTGACTGATCCTGATATGAATTAGCGATATCGGTGAGTCAAATTAAATTTTGACTGGTTTTTTCCGCTGAAATTGCTTTGAAATCAATGCGATCTATAACAATGTCTATATTTCTATAAAAATGTTGACGTAAAGAGTTAAACGTAAAATAATTTAATTTTTAATAAGAAATGAATAAAGTTAGGCTAGATGAGATTCCCTACTTGCGTAACATTGTTTTAATTGAGAAGTAAATTGAGAAGTCAAAAAGTTTATACATTACTTACATATAATATTTAGATGTTTTATTAATGGTACATAATAATATCTTGCTTCAAATTAAATTAATATATAAATTTTAAATGATTTTTATGATACATTTAGAAGTATATTTCAAATTATATTTTTTTAACAAACTACTGATAAAAATCAACAGATCTATATAATTTGATAAATATAATTATACGTAAATAATAATATACTTTATGTGTGTGAATGGATATTGATATATTGAATTAAATAACATTTATAAGAATTAATACAGTGTTATTTAATAAGATTTTGATATATTACTTCTCGGTTTTATTCGTCATGCATTATCTGCGCTTTCAATCGTATAAATATATAGATTAAATTACTGTTTCGGAAGTCTATCCGTTTTTAATTCATTATAATATATATATATATATATATATATATATATATGTGTGTGTGTGTGTGTGTGTGTGTATATATATATATATATATAAGATTTAAACGCGATATTTTTCACAATAATTCGAAAGAAACTCGTAATACCTAAATAAATACATTCGAATATCGAAAATGCGTTTATTACGCTCACTCTGCAAAAAATCATCCGATTTATCTTTGAAAGAGATCGAAACATTGAAGAAAGGATTAGGGAAAGTTTGCGAATAAAAACACTTACAATAATATGCTGACGTAAGGATTAGTAGATATCGTGATATTATCGTCTTCAATAATGAAATAATGACAGGGAATAAGCTCGTTTGGAGAGGCTCTCGTAGGCAGGCTTTATTGAATTACGTTGATAACAATTGCCCTGATAAAGGAGCGCGTTAAGATATACGCGTGCGCGCGCTCACTCTTATCCTTTAATTATAAAAAAATCTCATTAGAAAAATGCGCGGGTTGCGCAAATTACGAGCGACCGCGATCAGATCCGATGTGCTTTATCTGCGGATTTGCATATCGCGTGCGTATATATGCTCGTGCGTGGAAAGGGACCCGTGAATGCAGGCGCCGCCAGGGTGCTGGATGTTTGTATAAAGAATTACAGAGTACGACGATTTCTTTTCTACGCGCGCTCTCTAATTGCCGATGCTAAAAATTAGTCTTTCTGCACGTATGTATTCTTGAAATTACCGGCATTATGTGATTTGATACAGCGAGGCGATGTGCAACACATTTGATAAAGTGTATACGATACTTTATACCAAAGAATCCCATTGAAGTTGATCGTTTTTTTGAAATAACAAATTTTTTGCTGAATCTATAATTATTTCTTTTACGAATTAAAATTAGAAAATTAGAAATAATTTTGGATATATTTAACCAATTAGATTCAAAAGGTTATTTTATATAAAAGATTTATTTTTAATTAAATTTAAAGACAAAAATCTATTTTTAATATATTTGATATTTTTAAACATATTACTTTCATTCTAATCTAATATCAATTTGATACTTTTTATATCTAAATTATATATAGACTTAAAGACGAAAAATCAATTTTTTATATATTTAATTTACAAAATATTTTTATACTATACTTTTATTTTAATCTAATATTAATTTGATACTTTTTTTTATATATAAATAAAAATACTCTTGATTCTCGTAAAGCATTGGTACTTT